GGCTGTCAGGAAAATAGGAAAAAATAAAAAAAAATAAATAAAGAAATAAAATAAATATTACAATATAATTAATTAGTAATTAAAATTAAAAATTTCTTAATTAAAAATATAAACAAAATAGTGATTAAAATAAATGAATAATAAAGTCATAATAATTAGCAACTAATATAAAAAATTAAAGTAAAATTACAAAATGTAAAGACAAATATAAATTAAATTAATCTTAAATTTATGATGAATAGTTAAATAATAAAGTAAATACCAGACCTTGTCTTATTGGCTTAGTACCTTTTCGTCCTTCTCTCATTCATCCCAGCTTCAGAAAGTGTCATTTCGTTCGCTGCCTTAGGTGTTTACTTTATACGATTAAGAACGTCTTTTACTTCAATTAAAATGGTTTGTTAGAAGAGTCTTTGGTTCATATTTTATAGCTGGCAAAGTTTTATACTCGTTATGAAAAAATAAAAAAAAGATTTGAGTGTCGTAGACAGAGATTGACCGGGAAATTTAATTTCAAAATTTGCAGTGTTTGATGGCATTTGTAACTTGCCTTCGGGTATCACTTAATTAAGTTAGAATAATTCGAGGAAATAAGTTTAAATGAAGTGCAGCAAAAATAAGCATAATTTAAAAAGTTATGTGGTATCCATATCAAATTTCACTTTTCATAATGACAATAAAACTTTCCCAAATACAAATAAAGAAACTGGGTTGGTGTATTTAATTATGGCAAAGCACACTAGGACTATCTGCCTAAAGGGTGGGATGCCTTCGTGGAGGACTTTCTAAGGGAAACTGGCTCGTGTAACGTTACACCAAAAACATGTTCAATTAACATTAATGTTACATTCTTTATTAAAAGTAAAGGGTCCTCTTTAAATGCAACCACATGGGGAAAACCACGAAAACACCCATGCAGCCAGCCCGTTCGCGGGATTTGAACCTCAGACCGAACTACCAGTGTTCAATGACTTTACTGCTCGGCCACTGGTGGGCTAAAGAAACTGGGAGACCGCATTAAAGATTAGATTTCGTTATTTGTCATTTCGTTCGCTGCTTCTCCCCATTCCTTTCATCAGAACCGCTAATGACGAAAGGGTGAATTTCTAGTGAAGCATGTATATTAATGTTCGTTATACATTTGTCACATTTTTGCTTTCTTTCAAAACAGCGATACTGTGGTTCTATTGCTTTAGAAATTAATAAAATGAGCCCTATGTTATAAAAACCTAATTATATTCGGACACACACCTTTTGCACATGTTTGAAATCCATTATTTTAATCAGAATGTCTACAGAAAATATTGAATAAATATTAGAAATCTAAAGCTAATTGAGAATGAAGTAGTAAGAGTCATATCTTCTAACCTGTTTTAATTGAAGAAAACAGGTGCTTTCTTTATCGTAAAGTGAACACCTGTTTTTAAAAAAGCGAAGAGCCAACCAGCGCTCGAGCGGTAAAGTCGCTGAAGACTAATAGTTCGGTCCAGGGTTCAATTCCCGGCTAACGGCTGGCTGCACGGCGTTTTCGTGTTTTTCCCCATGTGTAATTTGCATATGAGCCAGTTTCCTTTAAAACGTCCTCCATGAAGGCATCCCTGCCCTTAGGCAATAGCCCTAGTGTGCATTGCCGTAACCAAATAATCTGAAACCGAAAAAAAGGGAATTGGTGGGGAAAGGCAGCGACGAAACGTTGTTTTAGAATAGGCTACATAACCAAATTTCTATTTATACTCTGGTAAACAGTACATTATTTGCTCATCCAAAGGGCCTAAATTTAGCTAATGCTCGACCGAGTTCTTAAGAAATTGCAATTTCAGCCCACAGCCCCTAACAAGACGATGTCTGGTATTTTATTTTATTACTTAGCTGTTCATCATTAATTTATGAATTAATTAAATTTTTATTTATCTTTACATTTTTATTTAATTATAATAATAATCATTTAATATTCTAGTTGTTAATTATTTTATTATTGCATTAGTTATTTATTTTCATTTATTTATTCATCTTTCCTGATGGCCTTCCATAGAGCTCCAGCACTTCTAATTTTAAAAAATAAAGTCCTGACTACAACCAATGATCGCGAAATAAAAGCCAAGTAACTTACTTAGTGGTAAATAAATAAAATAAAAACCAAGGCTTTTATTTTTTGTCTTGGCTTTTATTTATATTATATATATATAAATAATAAATATAAATATAAATATAATATGTGTGTGTGTGTGTACTTTTACATTTTAATTATAAGAATATAGTATATATATTGTACTATGTACTTTACATTTAATTAAAGGATATATATATGTTTACTATTACTTTAATTTATTTACTTTATTTAAAATATACATATTACGTTTTTGTAGTATTACTGATTACAATAAAAAGGGAGGTGCACATCTCGATGTTATAAAGGGCCCATATACAAAATTTCACCGTTCTAGAACTAATCGTTTTTGAGTTATGCGAAATGCATATATACGTACTTACACATCACGAAAAAATCCCTTTCAAGTAACAACTTGAGACATTGACTTAGGCAGTCATAATCATTAGTCATAAGTATCAGCTTAGAGTAAATGGGATTACATTTAACAATCCGTTTCTGGGGGAAAAAAAAAAAAATTTGTGTTTGTACGTACAGACATCACCCAAAAAAATAATTCACATGGATTCTGTAATCGTGAAAAATGGATATTTCCGTTGAAATATGATACCCAAAAAGTTTTCTCTATTACAATACTTACTTCCTTTTTATTTCGTACAAGGAAGTAAAGAACTTATATTAACCTACATATTCTTATGTAAACAATACCTAATATAAATATTTCAAATCAATAAAATCTCACTATGGCATGCTCAAGAAAAAAATCAATAATCATCTAAATTTTCAAATTACAAACATAATATGCACTATAATCTAAATGTAAAAAAGCAAATACAAAATAATGCTTCACGCTATCAAAATTGATCATTTTCTTAAATATCAACAACTAAACAATATTTCAACTAAAACACATAATGTAAACAAGAGTTTGCCCGAAGAGTTAACCAAAAAAATTCGAAATCATCAATGAAAAATGTGGCACACGGGTATTGTTAGCAAATATATCATTCGTATTCGAACAGCAACGGCATTATTCGTATTCGCATAGAAACTGCATCATTCGTATTCGCATAGCAACCGCGTCATACGTATTCGAATAGCAACCGCGTCGTTCGTACTAGAATAAACCGCATCGTACGACAGATGCGAGTAACGAAATGAATTTGTGAGTACCGAATCGGTACTTCGAGTCAACCAATGTACCTGTTACTCGGTAATGAATACATGCAATTTGCTCCATCTCTACTCAAAAACCCAATTCTCACGTAAAATTAATTATTTTCTGAACACTACAATAATTAATAATACACACAGAAATATTTGCTGAGTATTTAAGGAAACAAAATAGTTCAAGAATGGGAAAAAAATGTTTTTCCTAATTATTGCTTTTGTTATCTTAAAAAGCGCTATCTGTTGGTTGTTTTAAGCACTCCTTTTTTTTTCTTTCAATAATATCCCCACGACATTTCAAGCATGTGTCAGTTTTTACCCACTGTACCAACATTATTCAGTGAATTATTGAATTTTCAAATAATGGACTTTTGGGTCACACTGTATATAGTATTCTGACCCATCAACTATTTTCAGATACTGCATTCGACCCGCCTGCAGTTTAAGTTTGAGACATTGACTTAGGCAGCAATCAAGTCCTGAATGCAAGTCTTTATCATTGTTTCACAGCTGCCAACCTTAAATATAAAAAATGGAGAGTTCCCAGGATGTTTTTCCAAGTTGCGAGGTGACACAAATTCAAAATAGATCTAAATAGACTTGAATTCACTTTATATTTCACGATTCCAGTTACTGAACTGTTTATAATATGATTCTGATGAAAAAATATTAATATTTAATTAGATATTCTAAATTTTATTCTTTGGTTAATTACATTTTATAATTTTCTTAAAGTTTTATATTAAGAAAATGTTAATATTTTTATATTAGTTAATTAAGAGAAGCTTTTATATATTAAAGTACTTTTAAATAAGATGAAAATAAATTTAATAATTAAGCAATTATTTGATATCTAACAGGTTTTATGCAGATAAGACATACAGTACAATAACTAATTGAATAATTCAATTTAATATATTTAAGCAGTACAACTATGTAGGAATCTATGACACTTCCTCTAAAGAATATGTCAGAGATTCCAAAGAAAATACTATTAAAAAAATAAATAAATAAAAAATCTTAAAAGGTTTCAGATTTCAAATTACGTCCAAAGGGGCGTTTTTTTCACGTAAAATATTTTAAATATGAATATAACCGAGTTCTAGATCCTTTCAGACATGCAGAATCATAAAACTTCAAAAAGGAACTAGTAGAACTCACAACTAATGAAGATATAAAATTCAGAAATTGATATTAATAGTTCTGGCTTTAAAAAAATCAGTACCAACTCTCTACTCTGGATTGTGAGCATTGAGTACAGAAATTTTTACTTACTTTTCCTTCCCCATATTTGGCTAATATATATATATAATAAAGGTTCAGTGCAGTAGCTAATTTACTGCCTCAAAAAAGGAACAGACTGCATATCACTGAACACAGCAGTTTATGACCGATGTTAACGAAACTGAAACCTGACATTAACAAATTCCTAAAACTCTACCAGCCTCAACCATTTCATATTTTTTTTACTTCTAATTGATTTTGTATTTATTTTTAAATTTTTAATAAATTTTTTTTACTACATTTGATAGTCTGTTTTTAGAAGGGGATGATGGTCCAGAAAAAGTCGGGGGCCTCTAATCAAGCTGTTAATAGATGCAATGATTTTATATCTAACTGATTTCTCTTGAACACTAATAACATTATTAATCATTATTTTACAATGCAATAGATGTTTCAACTGCTTTACTTTACATTAAAAAATAAGAAAAATACAACAAAATAATAAAAATATTATAAAACTTTAATTTATAATCTTCATCATAAGACTGATACAATAGATATGGCTTTCAAATTTACAGCCAATATTATTTACAAATTTTACATAATTTACACAACTTTAAAGTCTGTTTAGGCAGTGACAAAGTCACTAGGCATAAAAAAACCACAGCCTAGCTTTAACTGTACAACCTAAAACTCCAAATTATCATACATACAAATAAATAAATAATATTTTCACTCTAATTTATTTAGTATCATTTCACAAAACAAAATCAAGTATTTCAAAATAGCATCTGTTAAAATACATAGATATGTTTACATATGAAAAGTAAAATATAATGTTTTGTACTAAATCATTTACCTGCATAAAATTATGTGAAAGATTTAAAAAAAAAATTCCCTGAATTTCATGAGAAACATTGGTCTCATTGAGTATAAAAGTAGTAGATGAGCTTTTCTCATGATCCCCTATATGTATTTCATTGTAATATGTTTCTACATATGAGCGACAAATGCATGCTGTTCTTCCAAACTCTTAAAGATTATCACATAAGAATATTAGAAAAGGGAATTTTATGAAAAATGAGATTCTGAAATTGAAATTAGCACAAACAGTCAACTTTTGTCTATTGCTTGATTCCTGTATTTTGAAATACCTCTTGTATATAAATTAAGCAAAATTTTACTGTTTACTGGGTAATAATAAATAATTCAATAAAAAGTCTTGAAATGGGAAAACATGAATTAAAAAAAGTCTTTGAATAAAATTATTTCCTTTCACTTAATTTTTCTTTCAGGGGGGGGGGAGAATGCAATTGTCAATCTAAGTCTAAAATTAGTTAATTTAAGCTTCAACAATGGGATTCTTTTCAAGCTTTTTGAGATGACAATGTTCAATAATAATAATCTTAGCATGGCTAAGAATTAGATCGTTTGATTCATGGTTTACGTTAGTATCCTTTCCAGAATAAACATTAAAAATATAACTTTTTAGTAAACAATTAATCACATGTCAATACAATTAGTAGTAGTTTTCTGGGCTTGAAATCACAAGGAAATGATATATTTTTGGCTAAATGGGAAGAAAGACAGGGCAGAACACTTATTAAAAAAGGCTTTAAAGACATCTGAACATATTACACAATCTATCAGTTTAAACCTGAGAATCTGTAGAGGTATATGTATGCAAAATATATAAATGAGTTAAATTATGATAATAAGGTTTGTTTATCATTTTACATACTTTAAAATAATGCATATTTAAAAACATATTATCAAAAGTTCAACATACAAAAGAAGCTGATAACTTTATAAGATTTATCTACTGCTTTCAAAAAAAAGATCTTTTTTTATTTGCCCCCCCCCAAAATATTTAGAAGTAATTTTAAAATCAAAGTAAAGTTTGGTTGAATTATCATAACAAAAGCACAAAAGGTTAACATTTCTCATGTTTTCATTATGTGTAGGTTAGCACAAAAGTTAACATTTCTCATGTTTTCATTATGTGCAACAACATAAAGTACAAAGAACCAAACAGAATACTATTTAAAGTCTTTTACAATTTTTTTCCATGAAAAATGTAATTAATAAGTGAGATAATATGGAATCAATAATCATGAACTGATTTTTTTATCTCAAATGCAAATTAATAAAATTCACTTAGCTAGATTTAAAAAAGAGAGAGAGATTAATGAAGGTGAATGCTGGAATGTAATTATCTTCAGCAACTGCCAAATAGCATCGCTTCAATTTAAAAGAGATCACACAAAAAAAAAAAAAAAAAATTCCACTGTTCATTCCTTCATTTAATTGATGCAACACCCACACATACAAGCACACATTACAGGAGAAAGTGGATTTCAATCAGCACATATCACACTAAAATTGCAAATGATTCATTCAAATAAATTACCAGAAAAATGGAGGAACAATATAACTTTACATTCTTCTTCACAACTGAGCTCATTATATGTTTTTTGGAACATGAGCTTGAGCAAAACAGATGATAAAATTCATGGTTGATTTGACATATATTTGCTACACGAACAAAAAACTTTAGAATGTACTTATGATGAAACAAATATAAAATTTTATATATGCCTATATTATATACAGACTAGTTTGACATTTTGATTTAGTTTGACAGTACTGAAGGACAGCCATTGCAGGGTAAGCCCTCTTAGGTACAACAGTTATATATGCGTATAAAAACAAGCAATGAAATTTTGTTTTAAATGTAAAGACCAAAATTCTTATAAAAGAATTAAAAGACAATTTGGAGGAGAACCCTGAATTAGCATGTCCATTCAATAAAAACATAAAGTAACCAAATCAACCACTAGAAGTTTATTACACTATACATCCACCTGGAAGAATTCATTGCTCATTTAAGCTCATGTTGTACATACAATATTCCAGTCATATGATGAATTACTTGTGTATCTTCTGTAACAGAAGTATGATTCCCAGGAAGGAAATAACAGTCACAAAATCAATTCATATGACTGAATTCTGCCAAGCCAATGTTACAGTAAAGGTGGCTTGTTTGGAATGGAGTTGAAACACTAGGAAAAAAAAAAAAGAATTATTAAAAATTGCTCAGAATGAAAATTAGAGAAAAGAGGTACAATATTCAGTCTATCATCATGAATTAATAAATTAAAATTTCAATAGTATTAACAGTATTTGACTTTAAATTGCACTAACACATTTCTTAACAGAAACAATAGAAGAAAACAACACTTAATTGGTCAGTCTAAAAGCCCATTACTTCCAATTTTTAAAGATCAGTTTTTTATTTTATCATTATTTCAAAAGCATAATTACTTAACTAAATTTGTTACATTTTATAATACAGCCAACTCCAAATGAACCAAATAACAAAAGGACATAAGCTCACAATTTACTCTATATCACAGTTAATCTGAGGAATGTAAATAAAATTTTACATAACAGATGAAACTCACTATATAAGTGATCCAGTAAGTAGATATGAGCCGTATGGTTTCATCAAAAAGACTGACAACTTATTATGTGGGACGACATTAGAAGCATCCCTTTATAATATTTTGGTGAAGTGCATAGCAACTGCACACATATGATGCACAGGATATAAATGAATGATGCTGTTTTAAAAATTAATAATAAATTGAAGAATAACTTTATATGGGAAACCTTGCAAAATAAGCAGTGAGAACTGTTCATGTTTTTGATTCATTAATTAGAATCCTTCAAAATGTGCACCCTTGGTCAGAAGAAACACATCTACATGGTAATCAAATTCTTCCCATACTCAGTGTGACATGCTTTATCTGATCAAACTTCCTCAAGGGGCACGGCATTGGCGGTCCATATACTCGATCTTTAACAAATCTCCAAAGAAAGAAATTGCATGGTGTTAAGTCCAGTAAACAGGACGGCTAGGGGAAAAGGTTGATGTCTGCTGTCGCAGCATATCCAATCCAGCATTGCTGAAGACGATTAAATAGTTCTCGTACATTCCTGTGAAAATGAGGCGAAGCACCACCCAGTTGCAAAATGTAATCATCGTAATTGGTGTTCATCCATAGCCAGGTAATATGCCACAACATGGGTAACAACCAGATTTTCCAACACATCGAGAAATGTGTCACTGATCACAGTTTCTGATTTGAAGAAAAACAGGCTGTGCACTTTCTCTTAGACACTGCACTAAAACTACAGATCTAGACACCTCAAAATAAAGGATGCAGAATGTCATGCTTTGGTGCCATCTTGGTAACTGACTCTGCAGCTGTGCAGTAAGCATGACAAGCAAACAGCAGGTAGCAAATGAGAAACTTGGACAGTTGTCAATGCTTATAGTGTAGGTTTTACCATGAGTAAGGTAATACATAGATTTATTATTAATTTTTAAAACTCACAGCATTCATTTATAAACAGCCTGTGCTGTTCCTCAGAAGCTATGACTAATATTTGTGACACATGGTTTAAGGTATGGGACCTGAGGTCTCAGGTTTGTAGTTTAAATAACATAAAAGTAATTATATAACATTAAAATTGTTAAATAATATTACAATCATATTTTGATTTTAAAAAAAACTGAATTTTCATGTTGGTATTAGTTTCAAATACTTATTATGCAAAAACATACTATGAATCTAGGGAATCAGTGCCCTTTTACATGTTAGTAGTAAATCTGTTAAATGGAAAATATAATTGACAATGTATTTACATTTTCAAAATAGTTTAATTTGGGATTGGGATTATTCAGTTATGGCAAAGCACACGAGGGCTATCTGCCTAAAGGGAGGGGATGCCTTCGTGGAGGACTTTTTAAGGGAAACTGGCTCGTATACACCTTTCACATGGGGAAAACCACAAAAACGTCCATGCAGCCAGACCGTTCACTGGATTCGAACCTTGAACTGAACTGCCAGTGTTCAGCGTCTTTACCGCTTGGCCCCTGGCAGGCCCAGTTTAATTGGAATTAATTTTGTGGTTACATAAATTAAATCAGTATTTAAAAAAAACTCAGTATAAAGAACATAAGAATAAAAATTATTAAAAATGAAGAAACAAAGTTGTAAATGATAATGATATTTAACTATGATTTCTGTTATCACATGCACTTTTTCCGTTCTTTTTTTATTTCTCATAGACATTTTTATTTTATGCTTTCTTGACAAGAATTTTTGCCATCATTTTGTACACAAACTTTTTTTAAAGACAGGGCCAACTAAATCTGCAAATATTTTTTTAAAATAATTAAAAAAATTTCTTGGAAAAAAATAACTTTACCACATACATAACTAGCCCCTAATACAATGCTATTTCATAAAAAAAAAGGGGGGGTAATCCTTTTAAGGTAATTCATGACGTGGTGGCATACCGCTTGTCTCACCGTGCATCTAGAATAGTAAAATGACATCTTTGCCTGTGCATAAATTCTCCTAACATGCTTATCTACAGTACTAGTTTTAGCAACCAAATGAAAATGCAAGATATAAAAAACGTTTTTGAATAACTATCTAGAAAACATTCATCATATTCGCAAAATAAAAAATATTTTTTTTCAAAAAAAATTACATAATTTTTAAAAAATCACTCTCTGTACAACTTTTTAAGTATTCTTTAAAATGATTTCATAATAGATTTGAAATAGAGAAAATTTTTGCTCCAGTACTCTATTTGCTACAGGTATGAAAAGAAAGATATTTAGAAGGCCTTCATGTTTATTTAAATTTCACCTCTCCTTCCTATGCTTGGGATATTTTTCTGTGGTAAATCCCTCTCACATATCCATTCAGTCATGATCATTACTATTAGCACAACGAATACTTTTTCTGTTATTCTTTGCGAGTAGGGTGTCAGAATCCTCAAAAAGTTCCTTTGACTTTCTAATGCCATACTCCTTGCATAATTTTGAGACGGATATGCCTTTATCCATTTTTTGCAGCAATTCCACTTTTTGTTTAATGGACATCAAAACAAGCTTTCGCTGTAGAGTTGGAAACACTTTTCGACATAATTGAAAGATCAAGCTTAATTTTTATAAAATTGCTGTAATAACAGTTTGCAAACAATAATAAGCTGGATCAAATTAGAAGATTAAGGAGCAGTGCAGTCTGCTACATTAGCTGAGCCTAGCTTAATAGCATCCATTATACATTATTGGCTGTGTATTACAAGCTTGGCGATGAAAGCCAAGTTGTTCTGCTAAATTTTGTCTTGCTCCTATTGCATACTGAATTAAGCCTGAATTGTACTAGTTTAGTTATTTTTTATACCTACGTTTATTTCTTGCACATGCTTAAAACTAATCTGAGTCCTAAATAAATAAACTCCCATATATACTTAAGGCTTTATCTAGAACCAGTGCTAGATACCGCCTGGTGCAGTCTCTGCGGGTTCTAAATTCTGCTACAAAGCATCTTCCTAAGTTCTAAATTTTCGCCACACCTAAACTTTGGATCCCAGTGCTTTCCCTAAATTATAAAAAACTTCTCATCCTTTAATTTTGCCGCTCGGTGCTTCCCTAAATTCCAAAAATTTTGTCTTCCCTAAATTCTGGTGTCCGGTGCGGCCATATACTGCCTCCGCTTCTGAATTTATGGTGAATAACATATCAGTTATTCTTAATAAAAACAGCACACTTTTTTGGCCTATGAGTTTCATTAACAAAATCTATTTTTAGCATATAAGAAATTTTTGATGAATTTTTTCTCATGAACATTTCTTAGAGCATATAAAAACCTATAATGATCGCCAAGTGTAATGTTAGCAGAAAAGGTTGCCTTACTCTTGTTATTCAATTACTAATATAAAAAAAAAAAAAAAATTTAGACATCACTGCATGGGTTATTACTGAAGCCGTCATGTATTGATTAACATGTGTTGATGAAAGCAAAATATAATAAATAATGATTTGCCAGGTTGGCGTCGGAGATATAAATTAGGTGAATGTTTCGGTTTGAGATGTAATACAGTCAAAAGTCGTTAATCCGGACTCGTCGGGACTTCGGCGATTCTGGATTATCGATTTTTCCGGATTATAGATCATCAGTTTAAATCTGGTAAGATGGCATGCAGAAATTCTAAAATTAAAAATATGAAACCATAATTTATGAAATAAAGAACAATTATGATCTAAAGGGTATCAAAATTTACAAAAAAAAGCTTAATATTTATTTGTTTACTTTATTAAACATTTCTTTCAATGTAAGTTGTTTAAGTTGCTTCGTTTTATGTGATAATACTTTCTCTTTAATTCTATAAACAGACATAATTTCTTGTTCAGTTACAAAGTTCCGCTGTTTAAGTCCCATAATTGCTGTGCCGAGAATACCGACTAACTTGTCAATCAAAATTTTTTCGTTTTCACTAACCTCTCTGTCACCTTCTTCATGTCTTTATCCATTTTTTGCAGCAATTCCACTTTTTGTTTGATGGACATCGAAACATACTTTCGTTTTGTAGATCCTTTGGGAGCTCCAGCATCGGAAATTCTATTTGACATAATCGAAAGTTCAAGTTTACTTTTATAAAATTGCTCTTACAGTCTGCAAAAAATAATAAACCGGATCCAATTCGAAGATTAAGGAACAACGTAATCATCAACATTAACTGAAATAGATAATTAGATAATTTTAGCTTATACCGTCCGTTATACATAAAACGCGCACGCGAAAACGTATTCTGCACTTGCGCACACGCATATGTGCAGTCGTAAAAATCTTACGCGCACGCGTAAACGCCTATGCGCATGTGTCAACGCGGCACATGCGCAGAAAGTTTTTAGTTTTGAGGTCCGTATTATAGATCATTCCGGATTATGGGTGTCCGAATTAACGACTTTTGACTGTACCAAGAAGACACTCAGCTACGGAGCCAAATTATTAATCTCACAAATTTATGCTTACATGATCGTTTTATCATAATGAGGTATTTTATTTAGTGCTTTAACCCTTTGATTTTTTATCATAACGAGGTATTTAACCCTTTGATGCACACGATATTATTTTTATAATTTTTTAACTAAAAACTCTAGAAATTGAATATTATGATCCTAGAGACATTAATATATGAATTTAAAAAATTTTTTGAAATTTTTTGGCTTTGTACGGATCGTTCGTTTCCCATTCATACTTATTTTCTTCGTTTTTCGTCCCAAAATATTCAGAAAATATTTTTAATTTAAATAAAACTTTTAGGCAATTTCTATTTTTAATTATAGCAAAGTATATTTACATTAAATTTAAACCACAGGAAATAATTTATAAAATCACAATACTAGCTTGGGGAGCAGGTGTGTTGATGTCAGAGAAAAGTATTTGGAAAAGAAAGAACTTTTTACTGGGCAGGTGCATGTATTGTTTAGTAATAAAATGACTCTGTGGTTTCAAAGGGTACCTATATCCGGGTAAAAATAAACATTCTTATTTGAAAAGCAAGCGAATGCCATTGAGAAGCAAACATCAGTGGTTTCAAGGCACGACCACTGAGCCTCTAGAGGATTGTAAGCATTGGGACACAATGCTCTAGTAGCGCAGTGGTCGCGCCCTGAAACCACATAGCGAATGCCATACATATAGAGATTTTCTTTTATATATGCAGTTTAATTACTGCAATTTTTTATTGTTTATGATAGAAATCATGATGTGCAATGACTAATTTTTGAAATTTTAAGTTAAGGATTTTAATTAATAAAAGGAAGTTATTTTGTATCATCGAAAATGAATTTTAAAAGGCCTCCGATCTGAAGTATTAATACTTAAAACATATATGATTTTACAGTCATTTTGTGTTATTTAGATGTAAAAGATCAGTAATCAATTCATTTTCACTCAAAAATTTCGGAAAAAAGAGGAGAAAAAAAATTCGGAAAATGGTGGTTTCAGGGTGCGACCACCGAGCGTCAAAGGTTTAAGTGAAATTAAGAATCAGAATTTTTAAGTGAAAATCTTTACGTGTTTTATTATGGCAGGAAAAATCAAATGCACATGCGTAAAGCATACAAAAAAAAAGAAAAAAATGTTTGTGGCCTTGAGGTCCAGATTTTAGATCATTCCGGATAATGGACATCCGGATTTCGGACTTTGTACTGTATTTTCATTTCTTTTAAGTTTCAACATAATTGCAATTTATCAAAAAATAAAAATGTGCATTTTCACCATATAAAATGAATATGATAGTTGAATTAAAAAATATTTGAACTGTGCTGCCATCTAGTAGCAGCAATTCCTACATGCCCGGTGGGACGTATTTGTCCCACCTTTTAATTTCACCAATTCTTAATTAATATATATGAATTAAAATAATAATTTTTATTAGAAAAGGAAACTTTCACATAAAAATATTCATTTTAACACCAAAAGTTGTAGTTCAGATGATTTAAATTGCATTAGAAATTAAGGGGGGAAAAAACCTGCTTCAAAATTAGAAAGAATTTTTATTTCATATTATTTCCACTGAATGAATACTAGTGCTGCCGTTTGTTATACATTTAGAGAACTAAAAGGTGTAACTGCATGTATTTTAAATGGAATTTTGAAGCTTTCATCTGGGAGATAAAAACTGATAAAAAAGTGGGTATCCTACTGCCCATCAAAGGGTTAATCAGATGTCACCAAAAACAAATAATCCCAGGAAACTATATGCAAAAATAGTAAATTTATGTACATCCAGGAAATGACTTTTGTGTACATTGTTCATCAAATTTTATTTTCAATAATATTTCACACACCAAAATGTAATAGAAGATGAAACTAAGGGTCTCAGAATTGGCAGTCAGCAAAAGCAGATTTTTGTATATTGAGTCACATGATTAAGTGAAGTTCTGTAATTATCATAAGTAATGATAATAAAATTTAGCAAAAAATTTTATTAAAAAAAATGCTTACTTAATGTCCTATTTATAATGCTCAAGTTGGAGAACTTCGAGCACTTGAGCTTCGAGAAGAGGAACTATCGCGCCTCCTTCTGTATCTTGAGCTTTCTATACTACCTAAAATAAAAATGAAAGATAATTTCAATTTTGTTTTATTCACTACTTTAACAGAAATTATACTGGGTATCAGCACTTAGCACATTAACTTAAAGGCATATTATTGTAACAAAATTAATAATGAAATAAAATAATTATACATCAAGGCTTAGAAATCTACAGATGAACTAACAAAATTAACTCTTGCATAACTTACATAAAAGTTTATATTCATATTAAGGATAATTTTAATTAATGTTCAAAACACTTTTTTCTAAAGCTAACTAGAAAGAGTTAAATCAATTTAACTCAAATTCTTTCTCAACAGTAATTTTGCTCTTAGGAAAGATATCAAACACTTTAAACAATATTACTACTAAAGCAATGTTGTTATAAGCAAATATTTTATTCTGAATTTCCAATTATGCAAACCACAGTTATATATATATATATATCACTCATTTATTATTTTTTTATCATATAAAATAAGACAGAGTAAATGAATTGTGTGTTTTGGTTTTTTTTTTTTTTTTACTTCAAAAGCAAGCAGTTTATAATAAAGTATGCTAGAAAAATATACTCTTTCCCTTTTAATAAGCTAAATAACATAATCCACTAGTAAGTAGCATTCAATCCTTACATAAACATATGTTTTAGCTTACATAAATATACGTTTTTCACTTTATTTGCTGTGGAACATCTCTTAAAAATTTCCATAAGATAAAAGCTATCCCAGATTTTTTATAAATTTTTACTTTAAAATGATTTCAGGGAATACATAAAGAATAAATTTTCATTAGACAGAACATGATACACTTAGCAATGCAATCTATATTATGGCTTTTTCATTATTCTAATCAATATTTCTGAAATTAATTCAAATTTAACTTTAGTAGATCAAAAGAATCAACTCTTATATAAAATTATATTTTTCCAAAATATTTTGCAGCAATTTTCAATAAAGCATTATAAATGAGAAATGGCTGAATGTAAGTAAAAATTTTTTATTAATTTTTAGATAGAAAAAGACTAGTTTCTGAATTGGAAAATTTAACAGCTGGTCATTTTTCAAATATTAAGAAGTGTAATTAAATTTTATAACACCTAAATTAATAGCATTACAGTTTTAAGAGAATAAGATGCTAAGTAACATGTACAAAATATTAAATAATACTTACTAGATAAAGAAGGAGCATGAACTTCTACTTTGACTTTTGCAGTTGCAGTGACTCTTGTGGTAACTGCAGTTTGTGTAGTCACTGAAGGTTGATTTCCAGTTGTATTAGTATTTGTAGTTGTAGTTGTTGAAACATTTTCCCCACTAGGTGTGTTGCACTTTCGACTATCAGTATCTGATTGACTATCAGTATTCTACAAATGGAAAATAAAAATAATTACCTACTTATTTTTAGAAAATGTGTACCAATTTTAAATGCATCAGAAAGAATTACTTTCAAAACATATAAAAGAATGTACTTTTTATACTTACATTTTGCATACACAAGTCTACTCATGCATATGGAAGAAAAGTTGCTAATTTTTGGAACATAATTATATAGAGCCACACAAAATTATGTTTTGAACAATTTGTCCTTTGTATTATTCAGTTCTTACTCGCACTTTTTAAATTCTTGAAAATAGCATTCATTCCTTACACTGAATTTCTCCATTAGTAACAAGTCACATTTTGTAACGATTTCTCAAAGGGGGCAGTCAAGAAATTGTTACAAAATGGCAGTATGAACTGCCTCTTTTAAGTATGAACTTCTAAGTAACAACTTTTATATTAATTTTTTGACTAAATAGTACATTATACTCTTTCAGGTAATTACTCAAATTATTATACTTTTCTAAATTTGTGACTGAAAAATATAAAGACATATTTTCTTCCACTGGGGCAGGTTATGCATTTAATTCAATAATAATTCAGAAATTTCTCAAGTGCTTATTAATTTTTATTTCATTTCAAATTTCTATTTTGCATTTTATTTTAAAAACTTTAGAACATCTGATTCTCATATTTTTTTTAATAATTTCAGTTTATCCACTCAATTTATTCAGATATAAATCTGGAACTTTGTGGCTTTACGCTAGCTGCTTTTTGAAAAAGAAATCAAGATTTATTCAACTTTACTGAATTTTTGTATATGATTTTAATTGCTTTCTTTTCCGGGATTTTTTATAGTTTGCTTTTTTTATGCCAGATAGTTCATATCATAAGTTGATTAATTTCAAAATTATTTTTACTTTTCTCTGTTATAAAAATGAGTCTGTGTAGACAAAAATTCTAATATATAAATGAAATATTGTTAACATTACTTTATGGTGTTAATCACTTTTTACGTATGTTACATAATGTTGCCACCAGATCCGCTCAATGTCCATTTCCATGGACTGAAAGATATTTAAAAAAGTAAAAATCCTAAACTGTTAGTTGCATTATTAAATTAAAGAATTTGTTACATAAATGCATCAAGTGAAAATAAACCATAGCATAATGACATATAATAGCCCTGTACTATCTTCCCATAGCGAACTGATCATAATCAAAAGTGGGCATGCAGAACATGAAATGCCAAAGAGAAATGTGTGATTTTTAATTCTTTTTTGAAACTATATATGTTAACAGTACACATGTATAATTGCTTTCAAAAATTACATTCAAAGAAAATTCTTGAAATGCTTTAAACGATTATGATTTAAAAAACACAACGCCTTACTTTCCCTTTATGTAAATATGTAAACAGATAAACTATGCACAGCAAGATATTAAGATTTGATAAATAATAATCATGATGATGGTAATAATAATATACGTAAGATATAAAAATACGATAGAAATTTATTAAGAAATTAAACTTAATTGGAACTAATTGTCTATAGTCCTTTGAAAGTCAACTTTAAACAAAGTACAACTGTCTTAAACACTATGATGCATCATTGATATTACTCTTTTCCTGCAGTAACTGCATTGCTGTAGATTTTTGTCTAATGAATGCTGAGGATGAAAACAAAGTATTATGAAAATATTCAATGCAGAGCTAGTAATAAAAAAGGCAATATACTAAGGAGCTAGCAGTATTTATAATTTCGGGTTGTTCTCGCAGTGATTGGGCAAAGGTCTACAGCAATTCAGATAATGCAGGGAAAGAGTGACATTAATGATGCAATATAGATGGATTAAAGGGGATTGTACTTAGACTAAAATTAGGACTTTAAGGAATATTGTCAATTTCTTCTAATTAAGTTTAATTTGTTAGTAAATTTCTATCATATTTTTATATTTTACATATTTTTATATGAGGTAAAGCATGTGAGGCAGAAAATGTAGTTTACAGTATAGTTATATGATAAATTGTTCAGCCTCATTCACTTTCCCTGATGTATATGCAAGGGAAACCAAGTGAGAAAGAAAGTATAGTATACAATATTCAAATAAAATTCATATACTGTGTGGTTTATTATTTATTTGTTAAATTCTGGTAATGTATTACTTGTACACAGTTTATGTATCATAATTTGCAACACAAAATTTGATGATTTTTGTTTTATTTTGTTTTGTTTGTATGTTAGATGAACATCCAATTATCCATACCATTTCCTTTTACCTGAAATATTATAAAACTAGACAGTATCTAGATGAATTTAACAGAAATTAATTCCATGTTAAATTTTGCTATTTTGATTACTATCTCATCAATACGTTAATGCTAAAGTAAGTTCTTATCAGAAATACATCTCACACAAGACTACAAATGCATAACTAATTTTATATGATATTTTACAGTTTCTCAGCTACAAACATGTAAAATTAATTACATTTAATCACACTGGGACACTAGAATAAGCAGTTATAATTTCTAGATAACTTTACACCAGCAACAATAAAGTAAAGATATACAATCATTAGAGGAAGAAATAAACATATATTCACCTCAGGAGAACTTGTTGTAGTATTAACAGTTGTAGAACCGTTTGAGGTATTTGTGACTGTTGTAGTTTCAACAACTACTTCTGGTTGCACAACAATCTCATGTGAGGAATGACAAGAACTAGATTCTTCAGTAATAGTAGACAGTGAGATCTCAGAAGCCATTCGAGGATATATCCTTCTAGTGAATGGACGAGCATGTTTCACTCTATGAATGATAGGTGAAGGTTCTGGTGAGGGTGTTGGTATCCTCTCTGGATCATCAAGAGGAATAACCTTTGAAAGAAAAAGAAAAAAAAAAAAAAAAAAAAAAATTACTAAAAAAGGATATAAATAATGATGAAATGTGCAAAAAAGGAAAACCTATACTGACACAGACAACATAAATTTGTCTTATCATAATTCATTTTACAAAACTAAGCAATTCTTAATATTCCATAAAAATAAATAAGTTTTGCAGTTAGCAGATAAAATCTGGATTGCAGAGTCTATCGGGTTCTTCAACATACAGATACTTCATAAATGGCCTAATGTTCTTATATGTGAAAGTAAATTTCTCTGAATTAGATGAATCTGATCTTAGCATTCAAATAAATAAGAAACATGCCAGTATAACCTTTCTACTTTCCTAATTTATTCTTAATAGAGATGAAATTGTCACTTGTGGATAAAGTAACGCAAAATTTGTTTCCAAAATAGACAACATAAATATCTCCCTCCTTCATATTTATTTTTCAATTTGCAAGAAAAAGTTACAGAATTTTAGCATTTGCATAATTTGTGATAAATTACAAAACTGACATTCTTAACTCATCATCATAAGGTCAGTTTTGAATATTTAAATATTTTTATTATTACTTCTGATATAATTGTTTTAGAAAAATAAAAGTACCAAACTCTTTTTGCAAAATGTTATATTACACCAACCACATTTTGTCAAAAAAAGTCATTTTATATTAAAAATTGCTTGTTAAGAAATTAAAAACACAAAAATTATGTCAGGTGAAACACATGAATTCCTTACGGAAATCATCAGATAAAATATAATCTAGAAGAAATAATTCTAGTAAAATTTTACAGAATTTTCATGATCATAGTATAATAATTTAAAGTAGAAATTGAATATATTTGCACTGACAGAAGTGTATGAAAATAGAGGCTTTTCATAAACACATAATTATTTATAACAGTTTCAATAATCCTTTAAAAAAAATTTATAACAACAACAAATACTTCACTCTCAAATGCATACACAAAACTGCAAATGATATTATAAAAGCGCTATCATGAAAAAAAAAATATTATATATATATATATATTACAAAATAACTGCAAATTTTTAACAAAAAATGTTTTTAAAACATTCAGTATGAGAAAAATTTAAGAATTAAGATTAACTTTATTATATATAATACATCAGCTTTATATTATGTAAGATATATGATTTTTAAATGTAAAGTCATACACTATAACAATAAAAGAAGGAAAGCATCTTACCTCCCCAGGTGGTCCTATAATTGAAAGAACTACTGGAAACAAGATAAGTCCATTTGATAACCCAAGTACAACTAAGACACAAAGAACAGCAAAAAAATACCTAAAAAATAAATAAATATTAGACAGAAAAAAAGAATGCTCTTCTCTTACAGCTTACATTTCTATAAGTAGCATGTATATTTGAAACAAGGAAAGGGGGAATAGTAAATGAATTAAAATTCTTTTACTAGAATATTATTCTGAAACTAAGGCAAAATCTGAGGCTGAATTTTAGATACAGTAGGTACCATTAATTCAGAAGTCAAACAACAAAAATCAGCGTTATATTTACAAAATTTTCACAGGACTAGTTTCGATGGTTTTACCGAACCACCATCTTCAGCTGCAAAACTGCAAATGAACAAGATAGGAAATAATGATTAGATAAGATAAGAAAGCCTGGACAAGAATAAGCAAGTGGCACCATCTGTTGGTGAAACCAGAACTAAAACATAATTTCTTTAAAGGCCGAAGGCAAATTTGGATTGGAATTAAGATCATTAACTAGAACAGAAAGATTTTTATGAATGTTAAATGCCTCTAGAAAATCCAGTTCTCCAATGGAAGATGTTTTTTGAATAATTTTGGCAGCAGAAAAACTGAAAGTGTGGTTTTCGGACCAACAATGTTGAGCAACAGAAGATTTCTGTGTTTCCTTTTTTCTAACATATGCCTCATGTTCCTTGATGCGAAATTTTAAGGCTCTCTTAGTTTGGCCAATGTAAATTAAACCACATTGGCAAGGAATCCTATAAATACCCCAGGAATTCATATCCGGAATGGGGTCCTTGAGTATGGAACTCAGAATTTTATTGATGGGAAAATAAACAACCCGAAAGTTAAATTTCTGCAAAATATGTGCAACTTTATAGCTAATTGATGGAAAGAAGGGAATGACAACAGAATTTTTATAATCTCCTAAAACAAGAGTGTGCCTTTTAGTGTGTTGAGATGAGAATTTTTTAACTGCTTGATTAATAATGTTGGGTGGAAAGCCCCTGTCAGTAGCTATTGCTTTTAAATAATTTAGTTCTTCATCAAGGGCTAGTTTGGAGGAGCAAACCTGAAGAGCACGGAAAACATAGGAATAAAATGAAGCTAACTTTTGTTTAATCGGATGACATGATTTAAAGTGTGGTGGAAGGCAAACCGATGAAGGTTTACGGTAAACCGTAGTACTGAAGTTGGATGTGTTACGTGTGACCAGAATGTCGAGAAACGGAAGAGAATTGCAAGTCTCAAGTTCAAAAGTGAACTGAATAGCAGGATCAATAGAATTCATTGTTGAAAGAAATTTATTTAAATCATCTTTATTACCTTCAAACAGAGTAATAGTATCGTCTACGTAGCGGAACCATGCCGGGAAGTTTAAAGTTTCAAACAATTTTGATTCATAATAATGCATGTAGATATCAGCCAGGATGGGACTGAGGGGGCTTCCCATGGCTAATCCCTCAGTTTGCTTGTTTATTCTCCAATCAATAAAATTCCAAGTTCCATACTCAAGGACCCCATTCCGGATATGAATTCCTGGGGTATTTATAGGATTCCTTGCCAGTGTGGTTTAATTTACATTGGCCAAACTAAGAGAGCCTTAAAATTTCGCATCAAAGGAACATGAGGCATATGTTAGAAAAAAGGAAACACAGAAATCTTCTTTGGCTCACATTGTTGGTCCGAAAACCACACTTTCAGTTTTTTCTGCTGCCAAAATTATTCAAAAAACATCTTCCATTGGAGAACTGGATTTTCTAGAGGCATTTCACATTCATAAAAATCTTTCTGTTCTAGTTAACGATCCTAATTCCAATCCAAATTTGCCTTCGGCTTTTAGAGAAATTATGGTTTTAGTTCTGGTTTCGCCAACAGATGGCGCCACTTGCTTATTCTTGTCCAGGCTTTCTTATCTTATCTAATCATTATTTCCTATCTTGTTCATTTGCGGTTTTGCAGCTGAAGATGGTGGTTCGGTAAAACCATCGAAACTAGTCCTGTGAAAATTTTGTAAATATAACGTTGATTTTTGTTGTTTGACTTCTGAATTAGTATTTATTCGGCGTGTTATTGTGTCTTAAGGTAAATTTGATCACGTTTGTCTAGTGCTGTTTTGATAATATTAGCCAAATGATAACATTAAATAGTAAGAAAAAATTCTCTCTCAACATTAATGCAGTATAAGTAAATTAAGAAAAATATACTGGAAAACCCAAATATATATCTTAAGTTATAAATATTAGCTAGAAAATTCACAGATAAAAGACAGACAGCAGTAATTACATAAAATTTCAATTATAAAATGCTTGTATTCTTGATAAATTGATCTAGCCAATACTATATACTCTTGATTAGTGAATACTATATATTCTTGATTATATCTTGATTAGTGGAGTACCTCCTCTAATTTTAGTCCTAATAAGAAATTCTTTATTTAAATCACCATTAACATCTTAGAATTTATTCCACATACTGGGCCTGGATGCATTTGAGAAAACAATAACTTTTGTTGTTATCTTGCAACTTGAATTTTTCAACAATTCCAGGGGCGTAGCAAGAGGGGGGCATATGTCCCTGAGCACAGAATACAAGGGGTGCCAAACTGACGTTACGATATCTTAGAATTAAATGTTTTCCATCGTTGGCAAGCAGTAGGGGGTGCGAAATCTTCAGCTGCCCCTGGGCGCTGAAAACCCTAGCTACGACTCTGAACAATTCTCCCGTTTTTTTCATTTACCTTAATTATAGATGCTGCATTTTCCTTTTGAACTACCTTTGTTCATCATATATTCAAAGGCCATCAAGCTTAAAACAATTTTCCCTTCCTAGACATGGTTCCTGCCCAGATATTCAGAAGATGCAACTAGAAGAAATTCTTGTTAATCCGCTGCACTTATATTCACATCTTACAGATTATGAAACAAGATTCTACTTGTTTCAATGCTATAGTATCCTTTTACAGCTTCATCCTTTGACCAGACAGGTGAATTATTGATGCTATGTTTTACCAGAAGGATTACAACTTCAATAAAGACATTTACATTACTGTCAACTGAAAGATGAATAATTTTCAGTTCATTAACATAGCCATTTCAAAATTTATTCAAAAATTACTCAGCTAATATACACTGTTGTGAGTATATGGGTTTATAATGGATTGAACGCATACAGAACTGTTGACACCTTGCTAAAATTTACCTTCACAAAAGAAACACTTTACAGTTCTAGTACAGCTCTTCTCAGTTTGACAAACACTTTACAGTTCTAGTACAGCTCTTCTCAGTTTGACAGAACACAATCAGTAACTACCACTTTAAACAGAATGCAATGCAAAACCTATGTGTACAGAGTGAAGGTCGCAGGGAGAACTAGAAACTGAAAACTGATGTTTCTCTGGTCTTATATAGTTTTTCCTTGGCCACCAAGAAATCTCTAATACCTTCAGTTTATCAAAATTACTGAAGGCATATACGGGTAAAATATACATAACAGCAAGATAAAATTACAGTTACATATAGGAATCCATTACAGTTATTCATTTACAGTACCAATTATAGTTAGTTATACAGGGATCAGACTAAAATGTTGCCAAAGTTGGCGATTTTTGGCAGTGACAAAAATGAGTTGCCAAACACATTGCCAGATTGGTGATATATTTCTAATTTAGCAAGATACCTCAATGTTAAACAGACTTGCCTCTGTAATCTTTTTCCACCAGAATTTCATCTCTTGAAGCATTTCATGTTATATCATACAAAAGATACAATTTGACTAAAATTATTTATAAAATTCATAACAGTAACTTTGTAATGTGACTTCTAGTCTTACGACTTCAGTTAAGAGAAAGAAATTCGAATCACATTAAATGATTACAATAAAGAATGCATTTCCTTCATTTTTCTATACAAGCAATTAATAATAATCAGTAATGACATTAACTGATATCATGTTATGCAGTAACTACTGTTAAAATCAACAATAAAGTAACTATTAATTAAACAATATTTAAAAACATTTTATTAGATCTATACTAACCTATAAATAAAATCAAACTCGGAGAAAAACAACATAGCCACACCGATAAAAGTAGCTATAGCTCCATGTATAACAGGGCTAGACATCTGCTCTAGAGCCATAACCATCCTACGATCTCTATTACCAATACTAGTGAGAAAACCCTAAAATAAATTTCAAAATAATTATGAGACAGATTCATGATAAAGGAAACTTTTGCTTTAAATGTTAAGCTACAAAGTAATTTAAAAATTACATTTCACAGAAAATACACAACATACTAAAGAATAATCATACAATTTTTAATTTATTCTTTATAAAAGATATGCCATCAATAGGTTCTATTCTTATTAAGCCGAAACTGATGGTATTTTGTATAACCATACATATTGAAGAGACTATATGTATATTTTGAAACAATGGAAAACATATAAGAAAGAAAAAAAGTTCACTGCTCTCATATAAAACAAACTTTTTTATAGTAGTAGCTTACAGTATGTATGTTTTCATGTTTTCCTACGCATGGTTAAATAGCAACACAGAAAGCTTAGATATGTACATATTTCATAATACTGCATTTTAAAAAATTTAAAAATTTTTTGTTCTTAAAAAATAACCTACACTCTGTATCTTCATAGTTAAAATAGCTGTTTCTCTGTTTTCAAAACATGGTAAAAAAATAGCTATTAGTTATATTACTAAATAAACTAGCTTTGAAAATAATTATAGCATTATGTATAAATAGTTTCTTAAAATACTATTTATGTGAATTTAAACCTTACTCTGTAATAATCCACATTGTTCATGCAATGCTAAGGAAGAAAAATTTTGGTACCTTTTATAAAATACAGATTTCATATTTATTGTTCAAGTACTAAAATTCTTGAAATTAAAAATTTAACAACAGAGACAAAAATACTAAGAGACTGTTAGCATCAGTATATAAAAGAAAAGAAAATAATAACTAAATAAATAAAGATGACAGAAAGTAAGTATAAAAAGTCTAAATTTTTATTTACCATCATTATATGCACAACATATTCAACACTAAATCCAACCGCAGCAATAAGAATTACAGCAGGGACTGCACTAAGTTTTATTCCCATCAATCCCATAAATCCAAATAACTCTATAATTATCACAGCTAAAGGGAATACCTGAAAGTACAAGAGAAGTTGGAAAAAAATGCTTAAAAATTAAAACATTTTTCTTGATGTTTCAAACATTAGTACAATTAATTATGAGATATATATTTACCATTATGAATGCTGCCCAAGGATTACACAAAACAGTTGCTATCACAAGAAAGATGATAATAAATATGCAGGCCATAGCAAGCCAAAAATAGTATCTCAATCCAAGATACTGCTCCCAGTAAATAAAAGGCAAGCCAGTAGGAAAATTTGGAAGTCCTCTCTCTTCAAATTTCTCACAAACTAACCGCACATCACGTATGGTTTCCGTGATTTCTTCAGTTGTTCCCATGTTGTTGAGGAAAAATGGAATTTGAGCATATACAAGAGGCTGAGCTTTAGGCATTTTAAGTTCTACATCCTGAGGATCATGCACCCAGCGACGAGGCTCAGGCACAAAATTGGCTTGTGAAGCAGAGTAGGCCAGTGCATCATTTGAGACCCAAGCTGTCAGATAATTATAGAAGGCCTTTGTATTTATGATGCCATTGTTATCAACAAGTCTGACTGTTTTAACCTAAAAAAAAGTTCAATGTTGAAAAAAAAAAGTTTCTTTTCTAAAAGCCAACATTTCAAGTTTTCTGTGAAGTAAATCAATTTGCACAAAATATTATGACAAAATAAAATTTTTAGTCCAATTTACTGATTGTGATTTGGATATATAGTGATCTGATTGCATTTTTTGTAGTAGAGATCGTTAAAAACTCAGAAATTGAATTTTTGTTGCTGCCTCCACTATAAATTAAATTTTTAGGTGATAAATTTTCTTCCCCAATATGTTGGGAAAATCAAATCTAAATATGAATCAAAAAAGACAAAATCTTTTCTATACTTATCTTGACCACACAAAAATTAAATACATTTCAAAATCCATGATTATTTATAATTCCTCGAAATATTTTATCCATTAAAATCTGTAATATTAACGATGAAATTACTATCAATAACGATGAAATTACAATCAAATCATACCAAAATAGAGGCAAACTCCAATAAGACTTTTTCATATATATTTCACCAAAGGCTTAACGTGTCATCTTAACAGATACAGTCAAAAGTCGTTAATCCGGACTCGTCGGGACTTCGCCGATTCCGGATTATCGATTTTTCCGGATTATAGATCATCAGTTTAAATCTCGTAAGATGGCATGCAGAAATTCTAAAATTAAAAATATGAAACCGTAATTTATGAAATAAAGAACAATTATGATCTAAAGGGTATCAAAATTTGCAAAAAGAAAAGCATTTGGTAAGGAATTATAAGCCATATAAAATAAAAACATCTGCGCTGAAGATAAGGATAGTGCTGACAGATCAACTTCCAATTCATTACGCGTCTGCCACGGCGTTCCCCCCACTGAGCAGCGTGAAATTGATAAACATATTTCGGATTTCAAAACATAATTTCGCTTTAGATCCTTTACATATTAACAAATATATATCGGAAATTCTATTTGATATAATCGAAAGTTTAAGCTTACTTTTATAAAATTGCTCTTACAGTCATGCAAAAAAATAATAAGCCGGATCCAATTCGAAAATTAAGGAACAATGCAATCATCAACATTAACTGAAATAGATAATTAGATAATTTTAGCTTATATGTCCATTATATATAAAACGCGCACGCGAAAACGTATTCTGCACTTGCGCACACTCATATGTGCAGTCGTAAAAGGTCTTACGCACACGCGTAAACGCCTATGTGCATGTGTCAACGCGGCGCATGCACAGAAAGGTTTTAGTTTTGAGGTCCGGATTATAGATCATTCCGAATTATGGGTGTCCGAATTAACGACTTTTGACTGTATATATCGGTAACCATTTTGTGCTATGTTAACTACTTATGACTGCTACTTACATTTTGTGCTCAGTAAATTATAGTCAACCACAGACATAGCATTAGTGATACAGTGGTGAGGATCCCGGATATCAGAGGGGAGTAGAGGGAGAAAGATTACTCCCAAAAGAAAAAGTAACATGAGATTAAATGTGAAGACAAGTGGTAATCACCTACTAAAAAATTATCTTCTCATCCTATGCATCTTACCTACCTCAGCAGTACATTTTGATTGAGATAATGTGGGGCCAATTTTTGACTCCAGCAAATGGCTTTAGTTTTAAGGGGTTAACACATCTAGCAACAGTCCCTGCTAGATGGGACTTTTCTGAGAAACAAGATTCTGGTAGCATAGGTTTAAACGGGAGGATTCCTAGAAGAAAAAGGCTTTGCTGGAAGCGAAGTCCCACCTAACTATGTGGGATATTTTGAAACTTCGCTGAAAACTTACTGCCTGCAGCTCTATCTCGCATAGAGATCAACCAATCAGATGAAAGTTCTGCTTCTGAAGGATCACACCATTCCATCTGAGCAATAATCAATTACTGTTTGGTGTTTAAATCTTTGTAGTAAGTGAAAATGGTAAGCTAGCTATGTGGGTTTCCTGGAAATGTGTGGGTTCTGAGAAATGTCCCTTTCGAAGACCACTCCCACATTGCGGAAGCATATGTGATAGGGACTTTAGTCAGACAACTGTCCAGTTGAAAGAGGTAAGCATCACTGTTTTCATTTAACTATGACCAGCTTCCTAATAGCCCGAAAAAATCAACTTAATGTCATCAAAGACTCAGCACTTGTGAAATATGTAGAGGGAAAAAATTATTGAATTTATTCTATACTTCAATATGAAAAAATTTGGATACTATAAAGACATTTGTCATGAATTCTTAAAATAAGTAATTATGAAGTCTTATATTTAGAATATGTTTTCAGCACAGTACATAACTATTATTACATTTCAAAAACAAATAACAGTCTTGACATATGCAAATTTACACCAATTATGAAAGAAATATTGTTAATAATATAAGACTATATAATCATCAACTCACAAGAGATTTATCAACAGGATTATCAATACGTCCAGTCTGAACCAAAAGCTTATAAGCTAAGATGGAATCATCAGATGCATTAGTGCACCAGCCTTCTTGAGTAATACAGCCACTGCTCCAGTCTTCATCAAATGATTTTTGTAAACCTGCAAAGACAGATCAAATATAAGTCAAATTCAATTCTGAATAACTGATACACAATGAATAATATATTCATTAGAATATTTTTTAATGCTTTAAAGACTTTGAGTCAATTCTTACTAGTTTGAAGTGGCCAATGGAAATCAGACTGCAAGGTCTGCACAGCAGACAGCCTTCACACAGTCATACCCTTTTTATTAACATTTAATGATAATTATAAAACTAAAGAAATAATACAGAAAAACTTAGGGAAAATGCAATTATATAAAGCATACTTGTCACTACGAAGCTGAGCTTTACTATGCATCAAATGTAGTGAAGAATTTAGAGATTTTATGTATTCTACACTGCTTCTGCACTGAATCACACCAGAGACAGTTTAACAGTTAATTTTCGAAAATCTCAAGATGTTGCATTGTCCCATCCTGAAATAAGGTATTTTGAGGGTAGTTGGAGGACTAACTAATGTGATAATAATCACTGTTATAATTTTAATACTTTATGTTAATTGAAGTATTTATGATTTGTTTTACAGTGTAAAGATGAAAACTTATAAATATTTTTAAAAAGCAAAAATTTATTTGCATATTATTCATTAAGATATCAATTGTTTAGAAAGTTTGCATGTAATTTCAAAAAAATCAAAGGGAAAAAATTGCATCTTAAAAGATGTTCTAAGCCTTAAATTTTAAAAATAATTTGGTAAAAACGAACATAATTTATACATTCAGACAGAACCAACATCAGTTAAAATTGGCTATGCTAAAAATGATTTTAAAAACTGGCAAGCAGATACTTTTTGCATTTAAAAAAAATAATAATTTCCTGACAAAATTTAGTTAACATTCTGACTTCTTTGCCAAAGGTTGTTTTTACAAAGTTTAACAGACTATATTATTATAAATTTTAACATTAGTAATTTTGAAATGAGCTGAATAATTTAAAAGTTTTGTATGACTTTGTATGTGCTGACAAAAAAAAAAAAAAAAAAAAAAAGAAAGAAAGAAAGAAAGAAAAAAAAAAAGAAAAAAAAAAAAGAAAAGAAAAAAAGAAGAAGAGAAAGAGAGAGAGTGAGAGAGCCTATTTTCTTTTTTAAAGTGTTATTTACAAGTGGCTGAAAATACATATTCTGACGACCAAAAATACCAAATGTAACAAATGACGGACATTTATAAATGGACAGCTAATGCAAATTAATATTTCTCATCTGTTTATTACAGTTTATTTTTCCAGCACGATTTGGGAAACAGCATATGGAAATTCTGGAAAAACAGTGCTATGTCATTAACTATCATTCATATCATCAAGTATCACTGATTGATAGTGCTATATCATCAACTACCATTTTAAAAATATTTTTGAAATTGTCTGTTTACAGCAGTTATTTTTAATCACTACATTTTTCTAGCTAAATAGATTCATTTGCAATAATTTAGAAATATTCTTAGTTCAAGATTTTCAATCACAAATAACAGTTTATTTATGCAAAAATTATAAAAATACAGTGACACTTTTTAGGCCATTAACTTCCTAATAAAACTCCTTATAAAAGTGAACAGTACTTTTGAGAATTAAGTACATAACACTACTGAATATTCCTTCTTTAACATCACTCCGTCCATAGGATATTAAAATAATTTAGAACCACGGGTAGTCACCTTACAGGAGGTATTTTAAAACTGCAAATTTTTATTAAACAATTTCTTAAAAATACATACTGTTAGTTTATGGCTCAATTTTTAAATATGAATGAAAAATTAATGTATGTATTAAAAATTCGCTACTTATTTTTGAAATCTTAAGGTTGAAAGGATCAAGTAAATTTGATTGAGGAAAAGCATAGGAGGGAATCTGCTTGAGGAAGGAGAGCTTATATATATTGACTTTTTAAGGGCTTTTAAAAAATAAATAGAAAATAAAAATAACAAATACTACAAAGCATATGAAGGCTAATCTAGTGAATGGATGCCTTTGTGGAGGACATTCTGCAGGAAAGTCTTTCACATTAACTTTATGCTTCGGAAAAACACAGTTTCACCCAAGTTCTACAATTGACTCAAGTTCAAACAAATCACCATCTTGTAAAAATCACAAAGTCTAATATTCTAACATGCTAATCAGATTACTGTTAGGCTGATTTCACAAGTAAATTTAAAAAAAAAATAAACTACTGCCTTGCACTTCACTATTAAAAGTCAAATTCTTTTTCATAATATAAGTTGATAAATTCAAATGACTACAAAATTATTATTTGTAAAATAATATATACATATATCTAACATTTTAAATTTTATAACAAACTTACCCAAAAGCCAATCTCGAAACATAGTAAGCCAAAAATCTGGCAATCCACCATCATCATTCTTTAGTATCTTGTCTATTCTTGTGAATGCATAATGGTATTCATACAACAGTCTCTGGTTTGTTGGATATTCAAAATTACCCTGAGTCACAGCAAACATATTAAAAAAGCCAAAATATTTGGCTCTTTGGCTGAGAAATTTGTATTCATTTGTATTCCTGGGAACAATATCAGTCAAATCAAGGCCATCTTTCACATGAAAAATTCCCCAAATTCCAAAACAAAGTAGAATGACACATGACACAATTGTAACAAACTGTAAAATAAATAAATAAATAAATAAATGTTAACCTAAAAAGTGAAACAAATATAATGGCAGTACAGGTAGCTTTCCAGTATGCATATTCATTCATCATAATGCATCTAAATTATTAAAATCGAAATGAAGAAAGAAAAAACATAGAAAATCATCCATTTCCTTAACATTAAAATATTCTTCATTTCAGATGTATATTTTTGGATATATTGATATGCAAATTGCATTGAGCAAGTTAGTTACATATCTCATCATTCAATATAAAATGATGTTTTACTAAAAATATACTTTTATCAATTTAAAAAATGCAAACATTATAAACATACATACAAAATCAGAAAATTTAATAGAATATGAAATGATAGATCAAATTTGATGAGAAGACTTTGTTAATGATAATAATTATGGGAAATGCTTAAAAACTTTCACAAACAAGAAATTTTGGACCAAAAATGTGTGCAAACAAAAAATTTGAGACAAAGAGGATTTTAAACATTACCAGTCAAAACCAATTAAATTAAAAACTTTGAAATAAGATACTGCATGCATTTATTATAATGTATCTGTGTGTACTTGAATATGATGAGTGTATACATAGAAAAAAATTTAAAACAAATCTGAGATACATATACTGTGAGTATAGAATGCTTGTTAAGTAATATTAGTAAAATACTACGGGAAATATCTCCTAGTGATTTTTGAAGAAAAATTTATAGTAAAAAGCTTATTAGCATTTAGTACCAAAAAGAAATGGGGAAAAGTACCCATACAAAAACCACACAAAAATGCTAAGATTTTGTCTTCTTACACGTCATGTAAGATTTTGCCTTCTTACACATCCTCCTACACAAGATTTAACTAACTTATTCAATGCATTAAGTATATCAATATATCAAAAAATATACATCTGAAATGAATATTTAATATTAAGGAAATGAATGATTTTATATGTTCTTCCTCTATTTGAATTTTAATAATTCATAACATAAAATACCTTTATGGAATGTTATAATAAATTATATTGAGAGTTATATAAGTTACAACATTGACAGCATGAGACAATATCACTTTTACAAATAATTTTGACATAAATATAAAATTAAAATTAAAATATTTGAAAAATAATAATAATAATAATCACCTTCACTGTAGTTCTTTGCAGTGATGGAGCAATATAGTTATTCACAATCCATGTTAATGAAGATAATTCTAAACACTTTTTTGTATGAAAAATATCAATGCAGTGGTCTTGCATTCTTCTATTCTTTGTCAATAAGTCTTTCGATGAAGAACTAGAAGATAAATTTTCAATCGATGAACCTAAAAATAAAACCAAAACTTAGCTCCAAATCAAAGAAAAAATTTTATACATGTGTTAAAAATTAGCATATAAAATTACAAACTCAAAAAAGGGCAGTTTACAGAATTAAGAAGAACATTATCAAAAAGTCACATTAAGCACATTCATAGGAAAAGAATAAATATAGGCCTATACCTGAGGCAAATCTATCTCTAATAGTTTAAAAAAAAAAAAAAAAAAAAAAAAAAAAAAAAAAACCACTTTAAAAAACATAAGGCTGCATTACCATAACATAAACAATGTTTAACCCTCTGGCTGCTCATCTGCGATTTCCACAGGCAACTCAAATGTAGCAAAATCTGCTCATCCCGTGATTTCCGCGGGCATGTGTTTTTCTTCCTTTCTTGAGAAGTACATCCCGTTTTTCTCCCATTTAACCATTGAAATAAATTATATACAGTATTAGACGTTTAGTTTATGTCTTGGCCAACAGATATCCTTAGTTGTCCACTAAATATGCGGCATTTCTTTAAGCCTGTGGTATTACTGTTCAAGCTTCACTTTTGGCACTTTTTTCTCACAGAAATGGCTGCTAGAAAACGTTCAGCGATTATCTCCATTACTTAATTAAATTATTGAATTATTAATTAGATTAATAATTAGATTGATCATTAATTAGATTTTATTGAATCTGGTGCAAAGACTGTGCTGTTGGACTTTGCCTTGAATCCTGTTTTGAACTCTATCATACTAAACTGCATTTCTAAGGTAGTTATTCCTCAGAGCTTTATATTTTCTTAAATTTTATACATTTTGCTTTTTCATATTATGCAATAAATAGAAATTAACTGTAATTCAACTGAAATTTATTTTTAAATTTAACTAAAATTTTTTAGGTACATCTGAAATTGTTTTTTTTTTTTTTTTTTTGGTAACTTAGTTTCTCTTGATAAAAATCTATATAAAAAGTATTTCCTAGAAAGAAAAAGTTCATTTTTCAATTCTCCAATATATATAGATTTAAAATATGCAAAAAAAAATTACACAATTTTTGAAGCGATTTCGGTCGACAATTTGAGCAGTCAGAGGGTTAATCTAGAAGAAAATTCTCTTGCACAGAATATGAAAAAAGGTAATCCTACTAAAAATTTATTTTAAATGCTTCTTCACAATGATCATCAGTGCCAGCAATGCAGAAATTCCTTGTAATAGTAAAACACTATAGCTACTAAATTTATTACAAAAATTGTACAGCTCAAAATTTTTGTTGGTCTATTTTACAATATAATTAAAAAACCCAAGAGAATTTATTTAATTTATGATCTCATTCCAGGCTGAATGTTGCAAATGAAAATAATGAACATGTGTAAAACAACATATTTAAAAAGCTGGTAATATTACAATGCATTGCACATTAAGTGCTTTTTAGTGGACAAGTTTAAGCTTCATTCACAAATATAATAGAAAATACCTGGCCATTTTCCTAGACGGATATTTCATTTCACATAAATGATATTATTATGTGAGGAATGTTAATGCACAGCAGGATATATACCCATTCAAATGTTAGCATTAGAATCTTTTTGAGATTTTTAACAAGTGGCTTTTTGAATAATAATTTGTGATATGTTACAAGAAAACACATAGATTGGTTTGTTTTAGAAAACTATCATAGCATACAAGCACATTTTAATTTTAGTTTTAATTCTAAGTTTTAATTCATTTTATTTACATTAAGATGTGCATTTCATTAAAAAGAAAAAGTAATTTTAAGCAGTATGCCAATTTAATACAATGAACTAGTTAAGACTACATACCTTGTTTTATTCCTGTGTCATGTAAACGATTTTTTCGTTGTTGGTTAACTGAAGGAGCAAGGACAGTAACAACATGACTTCCATCAGGTGGTAATGCATGAGTAACAGCCTGTCGAATTGGAATTACAACAGATGGGCTACTTTGAGAATGTTTAAGAGATTTCATTTGTTGCTTGTCATACTCTGCTGGTGTTTGACTCTTCCTAAACAACAAAATGAATTGTGTCTTTATTTCAATATAAGGCAAATAATTCCTCATTAAATGAAAAAGCCAACGGAAAAGAAAATCTGGAAGTACTCAGATTTTAATGTCAAACCAGAGAATTTGTGCGTTTTTTTATGCTATTGTTGAGCTCGTATTCGCTCCTGCTCATAAAGCTTTTTTTTTTTTGTGTGTGTGTGTGTCTTTTTAGTTTTATAATTAAGTTTTTAGTTTTATAATTAAGCATTGAAGTCTTTATAGTTGTGCTGCATAAAATTTAAGAACAAAATCACAAAATATTTAAATACAACATATCTTAAGCATTCCCAATATAGTCTTAAATATTTCCATACATAATTTAAGAGCAATAACTCAGAAGGGCTATTATTCTTAAATTAACCAGGAATTATCAGTAATCAGGACCTATGTTAGCAAACTTCACAAAATCAACAATTATTGAACTTACACCATGAAGAGTTCAGCAACAGCAATTATGTCACCTCAATCAATAGAGAGCATAATTATTGAACTCATTGCAAAAAACTGAGCAATAGCAATTACATGAAGTAAATCAATAGAAAGTATACATAGATGGCAAAATTATTTAGAGACAAAACTATTTTCAAATGTGAAATGAATTTACCAGTTAATATTTCATCCTGCTGAAGAGTTGATGCAAAAATGTAGAGAACTTTCAAGGGGGAGATGAAATTTTGTTATGTGTTTGATAATTACATAATGTATCCAAATAACATAAGGTAATTTTTGAAACCTTTCTTCTCAAAAAAGAAATTAAACCTTTGTTTTACACTAAAATCATTTATAACTTTCAGTATTTTACTACATTGATTTGCATTTATATTCTTTGCTTCCCCCTCTAGCTTTTTTCTGTAAGATTTAGAAATTTCTGATTTTTGGTTACACAAAAGGTGCAAATGAATAATAAAGCAGTTTGTGTGAGTAAGAATAATATTATTAAAACTAATAATTATAACCGACTTCCTCAAAATGCTCAATATTATAATAAACAGTGCATCCATTCAAACATGCTTTTAAGTGTTTTATGCACCCATTTACTCCTTCTCAGAAACTGTATGTCAAATTGTTTTATTTTTCCTCCTCAATTTCAAGTAGTAAAAAGAAGAGATACATGAGTTATTATGGAATTTTACTTGATTTAAAGTTTCTACAACTAGTTAAAGTATATAAAAAGACAATCAGATAGCTAGATGAATGATTCTACCTTACAGCCATTTTGATCTTAATTTAATTCTACTTTATTTAAGAAGAATATATTTTTCAGCAATTAATTAATCCCTTGTATCAAGGGATCACTACGCAATTTAATAAATCATACAGTATAACTATCTGGAGCTCCAAAATTGCCACACGTTCCTTAATTAATTTTAAAAATTTTGTTGCCCCTAAAGTCTGCTACCTAGTAAGGGTGCATCAAATGAGACAGGTCCTGGCACCCGCCCTGAGTGTAAACTTTTGATTTATAACAGATCCATTAGCACTATGATACTTTTCAAAACAAAAATGGGTACTATTCTGTTTTGAGGGCTGTAAGAAAATTGCAGGGAAAATGTATGCGCAAAAGTGCCAAATCTAGCAAATGCACCCATTTAACAGTGTGCCAAATCTAGCGTACGCATTGATTTCAGATTGCGTAAGTTTATACAGTTTTATATTTCTTAAGACGCCATTGAAATACTAGTTTAATTTTTAAATCCTTTTTTTGATTTTTTTTTTTTTTTTTTTTTTTTTTTTTTTATATAATATCCTATGGATTTAACAATTTGGGAATTGACCATGACGAAAAGTCGACAAGAATTTTGGGTAAAGTGCAGAATCACCCACTGCTTGATGCGTTTTTAAGAATTGCACATCGGTATCCATGTGCACATAGACCTATTTTCACTTAAAAAAGAATCCTAGAATTGCACAAAAATGGCACTGCGCACACCCTTGACTTTATCTATGTACATATAGACTTATTTTTACTTAAAAAGTAAAAGTAAATTGACGAAAATCCAATTGTTTTTACCCTTGTAAAAAGTGGCAAACAAATAACTGAGCGATTCTGCACTTTACCGAGAATATTTTCAAAGAAAAGGCATCATTCATTATAGAAAATTATGTTTGAACAACCAACGAGATGAAATTATGTTTTAGCGATAAGTCGGTAGCGAAATAGCAATGCAGGCATCCATTCAGTTATGTTTAGCAATTTTTATATATTTTATAATAATGATCTGAACTAGTTATTTAATCTTATGCTTCCATTCAGTCATGTTTAGCCTTTTTCATATAAATTTAATAATGAAAAAGTATTATATGAAATTAACCTTTCATCTAAATTAAAACATCAATCTTAGGTAGTTATTTACTATTATACTTCCTTTCTTGCCACAATTATTAGGGTTGCCTTAATTCTTTTTGGCAGCATTGGCATCAACAATAATTTGGCGATTTTTTACGGCCCTCGAAACCGAATAGTACCCAGAAATGTCTCCCAAAAGAGGAACAATATGCTGTTATTTCACAAGTTGCTAAAGTTCTGTTATCAGCACTGGATTCAGAAATGTGTGCATACATGCAAGCATGTATGTCTTCATATATGCATATATATATGTAAGAAAATAGGTGTGTGAATACATATATACATATATGCACATACATACACACAAGCATACATTTTCATACATTCCTGAATCCGGTTCTAATAATAGAACATTACCCACAAGTTTTAATGCCTTCAAAATATTTCATTTTGATTGAACATTTGTATAGAGTACTTTTTCTGATTATCTGAACCTTCACCAAAAAGTCATGAAAAATTATTCATGAGGCAATGCAGTATGTCACCAAAATAGTTATTAGGCAATCCACAATGACATCAAAAAGTAAAGTACAGCATAATTTATATGCATTTTGCATTTATACATAATTTCATCTTGGTTCCGATTCAGTGCTATTTACTTTAAAAGTAAAATATTTCTTTCATGTTTGCATACCTCAGTTGCACATTATTTTTGCTTGCCTTATTGGACTGGTCTTACTCTTCACAATCCTACTATTCAAGTATTTTTCCAAAAATAACAGAAGGACACAAGAACATCAGACATCACAGTCTGAAGAAGGAGTTGAAAACCAGTTCATGAATAGATGGGATACTAGGATGGAAAAACATATATATGTTTTTTTCTTCAGAACAGAATGCTGCATTAAGCAAACTAGGCAGAGGAGAATTAATTGATGCAAAATGTCTTGAAAGTGAAAGGCACTCTCATTAAGAGATGAAATTCAATTCTTTAAAGAATTTGATGAGAATATTAGTTTGGCAAAAGTTGATTAGCAAAGAAATTCCTGTAATAACACTAAATACAATTGTTCATGATAGGGGGAAAAAAAAAAAGTTCAACAAAGAGCAGAAATCTGTGGGCATTGTGTTAGTTCATTTCAAAGGAATGACATGGAAAGTTTCCTAAGGTCAAAGCTAGTTTGCTAAAATTTTTAATTCAGTGTTCATGCATCTAAGTGAATTGTGAATTTCAATGAATGGTTCTAATCGAGAAGTAAATAACAATAATAACAATAATAATAAAAACACTTCGATTAAAAGTGAAGAAAGCTTGCTTTTCAACTGCTTGGCTGCGTAAATTTTAACTGTGGCATGGAATCTCATAGAATACAATAAATGGAGAATTAAAAAGCATTCCTACTGAGTCAGTTAAAGAGTGATTCAACAATTTTTACAAAAAAGGACATGGATTTGATTAAAAGACATTTGTTATGTTAATGAAACTGTTCTTTTCAGTCAAAAGTCTTGAATACGGACTCGTCGGAACTTCAGCGATTCTGGATTATCGGTTTTTCCGGGTTATAGATCATCAGTTTAAGGTAAGATGGCATGCAGAAATTATAAAATTAAAAATATGAAACCGTAATTTATAAAAAAAAAGAGCAATTATGATCTAAGGGTATCAAAATTTACAAAAAAAAAAGCTTAATATTTATTTGTTTACTTTATTAAACATTTCTTTCAATGCGTGCATGCATAAAGCATACATTACACATAGTCGAAATTAGAAAATTGTAACCAGAAAACTATTTGGTGTGTATTCGTGATATTTATAATGACGAGGAATTTGATTTAAATCATATCAAAGACGGAGTACATCAAGATGAAATACTACATTTAGTAAGGAATTATAAGCCAAACAAAATAAAAGCATCTGCCCTAAGATAAGGATAGTGCTGACAGATCAACTTCCAGTTCATTGCACACCGCGACGCCCCCCCTCCCTCCGCAGAGCAGCGTGGAATTGATAAACAGATTTTGGAATGGTTAGAGAAACAAGGGATATGCCTTTATCCTTTTTTTGTAGCAATTCCACTTTTTGTTTGATGGACATCGAAACATGCTTTAACTTTGTAGATCCTTGGGCAGCTTCACAATCGGAAATTCTTTTCGAAATAATCGAAAGTTTAAGCTTACTTTTATAAAATTGCTCTAACAATCTGCAAAAAATAATAGGCCGGATCCAATTAGAAAATTAAGGAACGACGCAATCTGCAACATTAGCTGAAATAGATAATTAGATAATTTTAGCTTAGCTTATACCATCTATTATACATTAAACGCACATGCATAAACGCAAACGCATCACGTGTTTACGCATGCACAGAAAGTCTGTAGCTTTGAGGTCTGGATTATGAATGTCCAGATTAAAGACTTTTGACTGTACCTGCAAGAATTCTAGCTTTCAAAGATGACCAGTATCATAGAGCTAAGCAAAGTACACAGTCTCACTGTTTTATGGTAATGCTGTGGCATGGAATGCAGAAGTGGTAATGCTGAAGGTATGGAAAGTGACTCCCTGAGTTCAATCACAAAACTAAACATGTTAAAATTTTCAAATCAAAAACATGTTAAAATTTTGTCATTAGAATTTAAGGCAAATAAGAATGCAAGGATGACTATGGACATTTTTACATAATTGGCTCAAGAAAACAGACAAATCTATGAGGTGACAAGATGTCTAGTTTTGACCCTGATATTCTTTTAATGAAAATACATTGTTATGTACATACGGAGAACAGCATAAAGGGGAATTTCTCAAGAAGGTAAGCATTTTTTTATTGATCTTACTAGTTTCTTTTTATTTTATTAATTGATAGTTTTTGTATAGAAATTTTAATATGTCACTATTTTGAAAATAGCTATTGCCTTTCATGTATTAGTTTAATGTAAAAGTTCACAAAGTCACCAATAAAATTGAGAATGCTTTCCAGAGTTGCCTACGTTCCGATAGGGATGCAGATAATTAGAAAATACCAAAACCAGGATAATACTAACAATAAGAAATTAGCATTCTGGTCTTCAAATCAAATCTTTAAAAGATTAGAAAACAGTGGAAATTTTTTTAATATTTTTTATAAATTGTTTTATTACATTCACGTGACCACATTTTTTTACACTGAAAGACAATCAAGGGGAAAAAATGAATGAAAAAAAAACTTACCAACTGAAACAACAAAGTATATCCACCCGTTTGAACCTCCTACGTTTGACATCTATACTGATGACTGCAGGAAAGATGAGCAATAGAGTAACAGTATTAAATACAACAATTATTGCAGCTTGCAGAACAAAAGTTCTTAAAGCAGGTATAGGAATAATAGCAGCAGCAAGAAGAGCACACATACTACAGAAGGATGTCAATGCAACATTAACACCAGTTCTTTTAAGAACTTCTCCAGTTAGTAGCTCCTATAATTGAAATATATCCATTATAGATACAAAGTGTTATGAATTACAGTAAAATTTTATTTATCCTAATTTACAGATAATTTGTTCCCCGCTTGGAAATAATTAACACATGCAAATTAAATTTCAAATAAATAAAAATAATCCTTTTTATCAACATCATTCTAAAGTTAAAACCTGCTTTAATTAAATCTTAAGTTAAATCTAATCACTACAGCAGAAAACTTGCTGTTAAATCATTTCACACTTTTCAAAATATTTAAAAAAATCACTAACTGGGTTAAACTATATAACATTCTCTCACAACTTATTAAATACAAATTATTTTTTTAAGAAGTGCCAAGCCTCCTAAGAATACTACATACTTTAAAACTTATTGAAATCATTTATTGTAACAGAGAGGCATATTTATGCAAACAATTATCTGAACTTACCTGCTGTGCTGATTCTGACTTAGAAATAAGGATATATTGATAGATTATAAGGAACATGCTTTTTAATCCTAGCCCTAAAGACAGAAATGGCACAACCTGTAATTAAATAATTAAACTTCTTAACACACAAAAAATGTAAAATTTTATATTAATATAAAAATGCACTTAAAAGTACCATTTATACAGCAAATAATAACAGAAAAATAAACAATTTAATAGTACATAATAAATAAATATTCTTTCTATCCTAAACATAGCAACCCTTTGTTATACCCATGGATGTGTTCCTTTGATGTGGATAATGAGAATATGTGGCCAATTATAATTATGGTTCTAAAAAATATTAGACACCCAAGTAAAATTTGATTAATATGACCACAAAGCCTTTAAGTATGAAGTGGATATAGCAATGAAAATTAACTTAACAGAAAAATTAATTAATATTTATCCCAGTAATAAGATTAAAAAATTTACTTGGCTAGTTGCCAAGAAATTCCTAGCAGAGTAGTATGAAACAAAAAGTAAGCAAAGTTGATACAGAGTTCTGTTCAAAAAAAAAAAAAAAAAAAATGTTGAACAAGAGAAATATTTGTCAATTATTGTGAACATGAACAATGATATTTATGCCTGTGCCTTCACACCTCAGCAAAGCTTCTACCCTTCTGCACCAGGTGTTTCAGAGTATTTTTTTACACCAAAAGCATTCCTTCACAATGGTTAATCCAACCCAAGTAATTAATTTTTCTTAAACCCTATCTATAATTTTACTATATAGAGAGCACTATTAGTCAACAAGAAAACTTTTTAAGTACTTTGTTATTCTGAAGTCTCCCCTATTCATTAAATTAAAATAATTCTTCAATTGATTACTAAATATGTAAACTATCAATGGGTATTTTTGTTAGCTATTGGCAAGTGACTCCTATGTCTAAGCTTCATAGCTCATATGTTCAGTTATTTGCACACTGGTGAAAATTACTGTTGCTCATTTTCATTTGCACAAAACAAAAAGAAATTATGATAACATTTGTCTTTTCTCCTCCTTCTCTAGATATAATCAAACCTATGGACCACAACATATTGCTCTATATCTTGAAACTTTAATATGAACTACTGCAAAAATATTTACAAAACAAAAGATAACTATTATATAAATTTAAAACAGAGACAAGATTTCTTGAGAGATAAGTACATTTTTTTTAAACTTATGTATCAGAAGTCTATATCACCACATACATTACTGCAAGAAGTTGTATGGCAGAAAAGACAAATTTTTAGGGCAAACACAATAAAAATAAATAAATAAATTTAATAGGTATTAGCCACATGGACATATTTCTGCATGTATGTACTAACTGTCCATATTCCTGGCACATACGCCCCACTAATGGTGGAGCCACAAAATCATGGAACACTGGTAGCTTAACCTGGGTGCAAATGGGCAAACTACATGGAAATTTTCTTGGTTTACTATATATGTAATGTCAGACAAACCAATCGCCCTTAAAAAAGCATCCTTGAAGGCATCCTGCTCTTAGGCAAATAACCCTTGTCTATTTTGCCCAAGTTATCCAATCCATATGTTCTGGTGGAGACCAGAATTTTCAATTGAATGGCAAGTTACTTTTAATATGAACATTTTTGGCATGCAACTCTATTATAGTAATAATGAAAATATATTTAATATACATTGTGATATAAAAATGCTCCACCAACTAAAACAAGATAAAGAAACTAAGAATGTTTTAAAAAATCAGAGAAACAAAATTATTTAATGGAAATTGCTTATAATTCAAACATAAAGTTCAGAAAGATTCCATTGATGATGTTACCTGAGTAGTGGCAGCATTGAAGCTAATGCCAAGAATGGCACAAAATCCTAGACCAGCTGCCCCAGAAAGTGCTACTAATATAACACCTGCTATGCCAAGACCACTCTGAGAATTTACAGGATCACAACACTTCATGCCAAAGAAGAAAACATAAAAAAGCTGCAAGATCAAAATAAAGGCATAAAATAACATGGGAAAAATAAATACTCCTTAAAAATAAGAAACAAATATGTAGATATTATATCTGTAACAAAGATCAAATATCCATATATCAACTGTTCAAATCAATGCTACTTTAAAAGAGTTAAAAAGATCTAAAGTCATTAAGAACCAGTAACCGTAAAAATATATTCTTATAACAAATACTGTTATTCTGATAGTATTACTTTTGAATTTTATCAGCTTAATTTCTAAATAACAAGACTAATATGTAGCAAAGAAAGTTTTTAATTTGTCATTACAAGAGCTAAAAGTGCAAATTTAAGCTTTGTGTACATCATATGACTTCAACAAATCAAATCTGAAATCAATTTTTATACCTCACATTTTAAAATATAATAAAAATAACACATCTACAGAATATTGTATAGAAATTTAATTATACATAACTATAATTATACTAAAATTATAAATGATCATTCTCATACATAGTTTCACTCTGAGGAAACCAAACTTGATATCTGTTAAATTGCATAAACATTCCATTATATTTAAAAAAATATTAAGGTATATATAGTATCATCATTTATCATTTGAGATCAGAAAGACAGTATTATCATTTATTATTTGAGATCAAAAAGTTATCTTGAGAATAGTAACTATTCCTTCATTATCTTTCCAAATTATGATTTTTTGCAGAAACTAGATTTATTAAAAAAAAGTATATAAACAGAATATTAAAAACAACACGAATATCTTGCCTCAAAACAGTTCAAAAATATACATATAACAGAATGAGTGCAGGAAATGTCTGAGTCAGTGCAAGGAAGCTGGTTTTCAAAACAATTATTGGTTAGAATAAGTATAGTAGCCATTATAAGCATTCTGTATATAGGAAGGATATGTGCCTAGTCGAACGTAAAAACCATTTAGATGGATTTGAATGAGTTTGTAGGAAGAAAGGTTCAGATGTGCTGATGTACGGATATGCCGATATACGGATTCGAGTTTAGATAATTTTAGGAAGTTTTTTGCAGTTAAGGAATTTGGTGTGCCACAGACTAAAGATGAAAGAACTTCTAAATAGGGTAAGTGGATGTTTGCTTTTTGTAGTGCTTAAATGTATAGCATGTTTTTCCATTTTTATGTTATTGTTTGGTTTAAAATGTAGTTTATTGAGATTATGTATTTTTTTGTTTGCCTGTATTGTAGAATTGGGGGCTTCTTTGACTTTTTAAGTGAAAATATATCGATGTGTACATGGACAAAGTGAAGGGAGTGCACAATGCAAGTTTGTGCAATTTTGGGACTATTTTTAAGTGAAAATAGATCGACGTGCACATGGATAAAGTCAAGGGAGTGTGCGATGCCATTTTTGTGCAATTCGTGGATATTTTTTAAGTGAAAATAGGTCGATGTGTACATGGATACAGAGTTCGTGCAATTCTTTGTCTTGTTATTTTGTCTTTGTGTAGCAACGATTTTTGGCGCAAAAATCGCCATTACTCAAGCCAAAATAATAAGTCAAAGAATTGCACAAACTGGGTATCCATGTACCACCAAAAATCATCAAGTTTCGCTAAGGGGTACCCTAAAATATACTTTTACCCAATTATCCTTCTTTTTATTAGAAAATATTAATCAAAAATCTTAAATGAATCTACTATAAAGACCTAGCATTAACATTAGAATCTAATTTTCTAATGTATAGGTTCTCAGACCCATTCCATGTAAATAACTTATAATACCACTAAATTTCACTTTATGATATATTAGACATCAGCACAATCTTGAATATTAGAATAAAAGAAAAATTAATCTTTGGAAAGTAATTCCTCCACTTTCTTTCAGTTACTATAACCGGGATTTTCATTCCAATAGTCAATGTAAGTTCACTAATCACAGTCCATGCATACCTCCTTTATGGATTTAGGAAGATAATAGCATGAATGTGTTACTGCTGCTTATTCCCATGTCTGGATATACAGTAAATGAAATACCTTCATAAATAAGTCTCGGGTACAGGAAAGAGGGCAAGAGCAGCATCTTCTGTTGATCAGTGATTTTGGTATATCTGATGATATTGGACCTTTGCTCAATTCGGCCTAAAATTTGATCAAAAATCATGAATATGAGGCTTTTACACATCTTTTTCCCAATGATCATCTTTTGAAGAGAAGTATTAAAAACTGAGAGTGTCCCTATTCTGCAAGGGCTATGCTTTATCCAATATGTCAATGCAAGACCAAGGAATAGCAGTCTGATTTTGCTAATCATCAAATTTTCGAAGCTGGTACTTACACATGTGAAAAATGAAGCTGCAGAAAGTATAGGAACAGAATTTGTGACCTTAACTATTAAGTCAAACTAACTTCTTTTTCACTTCATATGTAACACAGACGTATTTATTGATGGAACAGAGAAAAAAAAAAGAAAAAAAAAAAAAACATTTAACAAAAATTAATCAAAATAAAATATGTATGTACCATCACAATGCATCCAACAGCAAATCTCATGATGCTCATTTCAGAAAAATCTTTCATTATATCACCCAAAGAAGTTGTAGAGAACACATTCATAGTATTTCTTTTTGTTATGTTCGGCACTTGAGCCTCACGCAATACAGCCTAAAATTAAAAACACTACTTAAACAGATCAACAAAAATTCAGATATAATTACAATAAAATACATTTTTACAATGCTACTTACTTAGCCTCTAGTAAGCATAAAAATTAGTAAATAATAATCATTAAAAAATTGGTGGAAAAAATATAATAATTCAATATAAACAATTAAAAATCAATACTATGTGTCTCAATTTTAATCCCTCTATAAAGTAGGCATCGGTAAAAATATATATGAAGTTATATTGACATACCTCTGTGAATTTTCTTTGCCATGCTTCAAGAACCTTTTTAGCTTTATCAAGTGTCCAATCTAAATTATGAACTTTAATATGCTCTTTCCAATAATCATACATTTCTTTTTCTGCCATAAGCTGAATTACTGTTTGTAAAGCTTCAGCCCTGAAACATAAATTCATTGTTTTTTTTAATGGACTGAAGTAAAACAGTTTATAAAAAATAAATTAGTAAAAAAATAAAATAAAGAATAAAAGATAAAAGGAAAAATTCTACCTTATTTAGAAAAAGTACTTAAATCAAAATTACCTTACTATATATCCAGTTTTATTTTTTGTAACTCCACCAACCAGCACATCTTCAGGCCAGTGCATATACTTTGCTGCAAAACCATGACAACCACCAGTCAACTCTGCCCCAATATCTAAAGGCTGCAATAAACAAACTAAATGAGTAATCAATACATAATCTAGACAAATATGTAATTATGTATCACAAAATTTTAATTGTTTCTAAAACACTTCTTAAATTCCTTTTGAATTAAAAGACTTAGTTCATAAAAGACAGGACAATTATTTTTTCTATTTCTGAGAAGTTACATTTAATTAAAGCACTTAGCAGAATTTTATATTTGCCTCTTTCTTAAACACCACATATTCCAATTATATAACATCAAGATTTAAAGTAAAATATAAGTATATGAATCTGATACAATGATTGCATCATTAACAAAACATTTATTTCTTAAGTAAACTGAATATGTTAACTGATTACTGACTGAAAGTTTAACTTGATTTGAAAAGAGATTATGCAGATTAATACACAGACTATGATTCTTCAACTTATGTTATAATTCTAGAATTTTAATATGAATTGATAGTAGAGTATACAAAATAATTAATAATCACATCTTCACTTGCAGACTTTAAGTACTTTGTATACATTAACACAAAATCCTTTGATACTTAAGTTAGAAAACCTCTTAAAATTTTATTCATCATGGTATGCATTACTTGGCATTTCTAATGTCTCAGAAGCACAAAAGAATGAGTACAGATTTATTAGTTAGATTTTTAATAGAATCATTATTTCACTGCTTAATTTATTAAAAAAATATAAACAATAATGATACATGTTACATAAATTTTGACTGAAAGTCATTTAAATGCTTCATGAATAAAGCAAATATAAGAATCTTAAAAAGAGTATTTGCCCTAAAAATTTTGTTTAATTGTTTAAAAAAGTGGATGTCAAGAAAAATTTCTACACGTTATTAGCTTGAAAAGCATGTAGAATTACCAACCTGACTACTTTTTTTATTAGGAGACGTTGGTGGACACTGATCATCTGCTGGATTCAAGCAAGGCTTCTTTTGGTAGGCAGTGGTAATACCCGCCTAGAACAATAATAATTATGAAATAAAATATAACTTTAATAAACCTGTAATAATTAGAAATCGAAGAATTAATAAATCGATTCTAATACGTACCACCTACAAATTCGTCAGAAATTAAATTTATTTAAGCAAACAGAATATGTTAACTGATTACTGATTGAAAGTTTAACTTGATTTGAAAGGAGATTATGTAAATTAATACACAGACTATGATTCTTTAACTTATGTTATAATTCTATTTAAAATGAATTGATAGTAGAGCATACAAAAGAATTAATAATCACATCTACAGTGAATGCTTAAAATTTCAGTTACCTTTCCAGATAACTAGAATGTTGGATAAAACGAAGTGCACAATTTCCCCGATTTCTCTATTACTGGATGAGTAACAGGGTGCACGAATAGAAAAATTTATGAAGTGCCGCTTGAAGGATCCGATAGTATATACAATTTGCTTTGCGTACTACTAACCCCAATGACAGAAGACCACACAAGATGCTTGGCAAAGTGCCATTTCATCTGAAAGCGCGATTGAAAGATTTCTTAGCCGACACTTTTTTTTCCCCTGGCTATGATGGAAAACTAAACTACGATTTGAAATGGTACCTCCGACAATGTTCATTTTTATAGTTGCAGTTTATAAATAATTGTTCCACAGCCTTACAATATCCACGCATAATTTTTACACACAGATTTATAAATTCATCCCAAATATAATATGTACACTAGCTAGGATTACCATATTTTAAGAACGAGAATCTCGGACCACCAAAACTCGCGACAAGGGGAGGGATAGTGCATATGGAAATACCCTTATATGCGGTCAGGTCGTAAATTTAGAACCCCTTTTTTCACAGGGGGGCTGAAAAGTAGGGAGTAATCTTGCTCGGGGTCTTGGGGTCCGTTTAAAACATCTAACTTCTCCACATTCGTTTTATACAGAGGAAATACAAATTGAATTCTTCGAATGAATGCAGTTTTGTACAATGAAAAGTATTACTTAATGATAACTGTAAGATAAATAACATCTTTTTTTAAAGCCATAGGTGTAGAAAGACAGATATTTGTTACCGAATGAATTTGTAGTAAATATGAGTTTTTTCATTTCGAATGCTATGTTCCATTATGCGAAGTAGCTGATATGTGAGAATCGTCATAACCCGAATGGCTTTCAACCTTTTCCACGCTAGGACTGTTTCTCAATTACATTGTGGTCGCTGCTTTTTGGTTAATTTTCTAATGACATATAACAATATTGTTTTTTATTGAGACTTTATGATAAAATAACGCAACTAGACTGCCAAAAATTCTTAAGAAGAAGTTAAATATACTGAAAGATACATTATGATGCCTTTTGTGTTTTATGTAGTAGTATTAACTACTACTTTATCCTTAATGAAATCCTTAAATTATATATATTCTATGTATAGGTATATATAAATGGAACAATTATAGAACACGGTATAAATATCTTATTATACAATGTTCATTACCATACGTATATTTACGTAATATCAATATAATGGTTAGTTAGGTTTCGTACTATCATAATTTATTTTTATATTTTTGTATTTTTTGTATAGATTCAGTATTGTATACGTATCTGAAGTTTAATTGTTCCTTTTGGTTACGACTTAAGTGAGAAATAATTGTTAGGGCCGTCATAGGGATTACATTATACAATCATTAGGATCTGACTTTTCCTTTCTTTAATCATTATATATATTCAAATACTACTTGATAAGTATACATAAAATATAGCAGTTTTTTTTAGGTACTTATTTATATCTATTGTTTGGTCTTGTTTGTTATTATAACAAAGCATCGACGGTTATTTGCCTAAGGTAAGGGTGCCTCGTGGAGAACTTCGAAGCAAACTGACTCTTATGCACGTTCAACGTGGGGAAAACCTCGAAAACGCCAATACAGCCATCCCCCCGTCGATCCGGATTCGAACCCCGGATCGACCTGCCAGGTTTTACAGCTCAGCCCGCTAGTGAGCTACACACATCCACACATATACATTACTAGTATTTACATGTCGTTTATAAGTATAATTGAGTGCAATTTAATCATAAAGAGAAAATATCTACGGAATTACTTCACTTCATAGACTTTCTGCTAAGCTTCACCATATTTCTGAAAGAGAATCTCAATGCTAGTTCCATTTCCAGCTGTTATGTACCATTTTTCATGCTTTGAATTATATTTAGAAATTATTTCACTTGGTTATAGCTGAAAATGCAGTTTTTTTATTGAAGAATTTAAGGGTAAAAGAGAAGTTATGCCCTTTTCTAATTATTCTTGAAACATTTTAAATTTTTTTTAAAAAAAGCGCACATTAATACGGATCACTGAACTAAAGTGCTCGATACAGGACAGATTAATTAGCTACTAAATTTTGATTTTCGTTGAGTAAAAATGAATTTATATCTGCATTCTATAAGAAAGTAATATTCAAAAAATGTTTTTTTTTTTTCCTATTCTCGCAGCCATAATATTTTTCTTAAATATTCAGCTAATTCATATTCAAATATTCCAATCCATTAGAATTAATAATAAATCGATACAGTAAATAAATAATTAAAATCAATTAAATGGAATTTTAATTGATTTTAATTGCCATTTTCCCTCTGATAAACCCCTCTTTAGAGTTCAGTAGCAGTCGATCAGCTTTTTGTTGGGGGTTCATTTTTCTTATGGTATGCTTACGTTATATATGTATGTATTATGCATTGGTCGTACTCGTCAATTGCAGCTTTTAATATCTTTTTGAAAAAAATCAATATGAGAATCCAGAAAATGATTCTTAGTGACGCTAAAAATATTATTACTAGGCACTGTTATGCCACAGTGTTTTAAAAAAAAAATCCCATTGTTTAAAGGTAGATTTTATGCTCATATCCTAGTCTAAAATTAAAAGCTGCGAGTCAAAATTAAGGGGGTTGCCTCTTAGAAAGCCTCAATTAAAAGTAGTTATATGAAATGTTAATCAATACTTATAATCTTACGGATTAAACACTTATTCCCTATTTGATCACGTGTATGGCAAACAGATATTCGTCATTCATAAAGAAAAGAAAGGTGAATCAAAATTAGTTTTCAAGCCCTATCGCATACATTAGCAATACTTATTCTCGTAATAACAGATACGTATGTGTTATTCTCTTCGTAATTTTCAGTACATATATTTATATTTATAATTAAAAAATGAAAGCAGCGTCAAACAGCTGTGAAATTATATTTTAAAATTATTATTTAGAAATGCGCTTATAATGGTTTTTATATTTATGAAAGATACTTCCCGTTTACTCAGGCTCACTGTATTCAAGTCGATAGGACCAATTGAATGGAAAGATCGATTAATTCATTCCCAAGTTTCAAATCGGATGAATGGACTCGCGAGTAAAATGGCACATTAAAATACGGTCACTGAACTACAGTGAGCTACAGTGATGAAAATTTTAACAAAGGCTTCGTACTTTATCTTATGAAAACAAAATATCAGAATTTAATTAAATGTTTCACTTATTAGAAAAATAAAATATAAATATTTGTGAATAAAAAGAAATTATCTTTTAAAAAAAATAAATTTAAAAGAAAAAATAAAGAATTACAAAATATTGCAGAAATTACATAAAATGGCGAATAAACTTATTCGGCACAAGCTCGCTAAATGTAAAACAGATTGTACAGTCAGAAAGCTCGCCTTGTCACACAAATGTACTGTTCATCGGTTTAAAGGTTATTCAGACTAGTGTGCGAAGTTCAGTGAGTAACTTGTATTTTCCTTTGATGTATAAACTAGCCAAAAAAAACACTTTAAAAAAATATATATCTCCCCTTATGATCCCTGACACAGCCGTTTACTTTCCCCTTCCGTAATTAACGTCAGTCTCCTGCTCTTGACCGCATTTGCCACGCCACCGTGCATATGACCCCTTTGGAATCAACCGAAAAATGTGTTTTGCATTGATGCAATGCGATACAATGTGTTCTGTAAAGTATATTTATAATAAATGTATTTTTATCAACGTGATGCTGTATTCTGTAATCTGTTTGTGAACCCCAATTAAAAAAATAAATAAAAGTGATTGATGCTGCACGAGATTGTATAAGAGATTAAAGCTGGAATGAAGGAATAAAAGAGAATTATACAGCATTTACAACAAAATATTTTAGTTATTAAAAAGTAGACGGTATACCTTTTGCAGCATTCCTACTCTGAAGATGATGTAGATGGTTGGAATCCTTGTTATTTTTTCACTTTCGCATACTTTTCATTAGCTAATATTTTTTCTTAAACCCTTTGTTGGATTATGTATGTTCATATAAATCACTACATGAAATCTAGAATTCATGTTCAAGATTAAATATTGTTTCAGGGTTTCGTCCTGTAATCCAGCGGTCTTCAAACTTTGTCAACTCACGGAACCCTTAGAATTACAAAGACTTTTCGGGGAACCCCATTCAAACTTTAAACAATGTATCATAAAATAACATTTAAAACAAATCAATCTGTAATAGGCACTTTTTTTTTCGTGGGTATTTCTTTGTTCAACTATTACAAAAGTACAAGTAATAGGCATTTTATGTAAAGACAAAAAGAGTACTTTATTTTTTATTTAGTTTTAAATTTGAATATGACTTTCTTTAAAATACATGACCACAGATGGCAGTTCATATTGTCAAGCACAATAAGTGCACATATATATTTAAATTTTATTTCAATAAAAAGGCTTTAAAGCTTTTTGACTATTTTGTTGCTTCAGGCACAGCGATCATTCGCTTTAAGTCTGTTAGGAATTCGAAACTATGCAGTTTGTGTTACCAAAACAAGTCAAACTCTATATACTCATTAATAGCATTAACTCGTGCTCCAGGTTTCACCTACCCTTGCAATGATATGGGGTATGCTTGCATTTCAAAGATTACTAAATATGTATTTTTAGTTGATAAACGCTAGTCAGCTAGTATGAGTGCTTTATAATTTTTATTTT